AGCGTTTTAAACATTCACTTACAATTATATGGACGTCGGGTCCGCGCTAAAAAGTGTCCGCACTTGTAAGGCGCTAAAATCGTATACAGAGCGCCAAACTTCGCTTTAGTTTTCATTTGTTCGACTGACAGCGCGATACTGCGATGACATTACAATTTAAATTTCGAATAGGTTGACTTGGGACATTTTTTTCGTGGTTTTTGTATTAGACCCGTCGTCCATTTATTTGTAAGTCAACGGTTTTAAAGCTCTGAGAGATCCACGACTTGTTCGTCCCGTTACTTGATAACACAAAAAAAAATACAAAGAGAGAAAAATTCCGCCGAGTGAAGAAAAGCTTTCACAGATGGAGCCACGGCAAAAAGCCGTTAAAATCAAAAACAAATATCTGCAGCAAGCATATGGAGAAGTTCGTAAGGTCTGCTGAGTCGTTCCGTACGTAGCTCAATTGGGAGAGCGATAGACCCGGTATGGCGGAAATGACGCTGGTTCAAGTCCAACTGGATGGAAGGAACTTTTATTTTTGTTTGTTCGATCTTTATATCAATTAGAACAATAAAGACGTTGTTATTGATGGGATTTTTTGTGTTACGATAACAAGTTTCCGGTATTCAAAAGAACTCTATGTTATAAGCTCTTACATACACTTTAGTAACAATGATTTGACGACCACCCAATACGAATGATTTACACTGAGGTCGCTGGATGTGGAGATTCCGGGTTTGATTCCCGGTAGCACAAACTTGGGAAACGAGCTTTTGAAAATTGGTTCTCTTGATTCCTACGAACAACGTATCAAGGATTACTTCCTGGATTCATAAGTTTCGTCTGTTCTCCGCTATCCCTAAATTTATTTCCTGAACTTATATTTTATTTTCTTATCGTTTTTTCCGTGAAAAGTATATATAAATAATAAAATGTTATTCATTTCGTATGAAATAATTTTTTTAAATCAAATTTGACCAATGATCCTTACATAAAACTGAGTCCGTGTACTACAAAAAATTTATCAATTTTATTCGTTTTTGAATGAAACTATTTTTCCGGATTTAAATCGCGTATATTTGTTTTTTCAAACAAACCGACGTTTCGGGCCATCGGATCGGGTCCCATGGTCAACCGTGACCATGGGACCTGTAAATCCGGAAAAATAGTTTCATTTCCTATGTGTAACAATCGCGAAAACCTAAGAATTCGACAAACTTACGCTTGGCCAAAAAAATTGACTGACAAAATCGTTTTCACAAAAAAACACTTAATGGTACCTAAGACTGTACCTCATATCTCCTATGGTTTCGGATTTCCCCATACTGTTCCGTTTGAAAAGAACACAGTATAACTCAGCTACGGAGGACTACGTAGGAGTAAGTAAGTAAGTATACTTATAGGGGTCGCACGTCACAATACGAAAAAGGCAATTTTCGGGAAATGCCCTAAATGGCGAAAGTTTCTGAATACTTATTCACTATAACTATAGGTACTTACCTATAACTTTGAAAAAACAAGAACATCGTTTAGTAACTCTATTGAAAGTAGCCATCGCTGATATTCTACCAAAGCCCGTAATGAAGAACATAATAAAAATTGAAAAACACACCTGAGCTAAAACTTCAATTAAAAAATCTAAAATAATCTACATAATATTCAAAAGCATCTCAGTTCAATGACCTGTGATAGTGTTATGTCAACAATTGTAACGTAATTATGAAATATATAGGTATCACAGTACATAATACATGAATACATGCCTACTTCCTTGACCTAACCTTTGATATTGGATACTTTATTAACTAAAGATAACAATGTGTTATTGTAACTGTTTTTTTAACCATACATCTACTATTACGATGATTGATGCCAGTGGAAAACAACAAGGTAGTAGCTACCTTGCTAATGGTAGCAAGTGACGGGACGAACAAGTCGTGCCCCTGGTGATGCACAAGCACCTTTATCCTTCAAATCCGTAACGCAGTAATGCTCACATTACTGTTTGGCGGCAGAACTATGTAAGTAGCAGTACTTCTATGGACGAACTCTTTCACAAGGAGCTTTACTGCTACTAAATAACATAAATATCGCATATAGAGGTTATCTATTTGCGTAGGTATGTATTTATTCACGTTAATAGTTTTCAAATAGAGTAAAGTTTCCTAAACATCACTTGTGAGATAAAACATCGCAATGACACTTGTTATAAAGAGAGCTAATGTAAAGAGTAAAGAGAATAAAAAGGATAGAGACGCCCTGTGGTACTAGTGTGAATATTTTGTGCTATACGTACAAAGTCATGAGCGGTTTATTGGATCCAATTTCCTCTATAATCTCAAGCAGGCCTAAAACTGCAGTAGTATTCATTACTATGTTTTATTTTATTATTGACTGCATCCTTGGCCAAACGGTTACCATCCTGCCATCCTGGACTGACACGCAGAGGTCCGGTTTTCGATTCCCGGGCCGGGAGATATAATAACGCACACACACATAGTCCTGCCCTAGAGAAACTCAATGTCGCGGGTGCCATGGACTCAACCATAGACAACCACAAATTGCATTCAAACTCATGAGAAAAATAATGTAGACCGTATAAAAAAAATAGTTTGCATGAAGTATGGTGAATGCTGCAGAAGCGAGAGCTTTGCGCAATATTACTATGTGCCGTATTAGCCTTAAAGACGGAATGCCGGAATGACCGAGTGTGGATGGAGGCGAGGTAGGCCTCGTCGTACAAATCTCTATCCGATTGGGGATGTCCTTAAAACAGAGTTAAAAGTACACCAGGAATAAATGGGCATGTATGAAGAGACTTACGTGAGTGGAGGAGGAGAAGGATGTTTGTCAGGAGCGTAGCACGTGGAGGTCCATAGTCTCTGCCTACCTCAGTGTCACGTGATGTTTGTAAAAATACGTTTCATTTCCAATAATTTGTAAATATGAACGAAATTAAATTTGATTGAATGTCAGGATGTTATACCACATGATATCAATTTTTTTTTAAATTACTCCACTAGTTTGTTGTAATATTATCAAACAAAAATCGAATACTAGAAAAATTCATGAGTTTTTTCTAAGTAATCGATCTCTGTTTAATAATATTGTAACAAAATATGAACGTGTATAAAGTCTCATTATACGATCGCATTAATTCTATCTCTCACAAATTACACGACTTACGGGTTTAATATAATTATTATGTTCAATAATTTCTTCATACGCATATTGCATGATTTAGATCAGAAGAAATAGTTTTATTACCAATCGCGAAAACCTAAAAACTGGATTTATTAATTTACTTTATTTCAGTATACCTACTATCGAAAACAAAAACAAACTGCAATGAGAACGACGACAAACGTTCCGAGCTGATATCATTCAGATAATACCACTAAAGTGGCCTATGTAGGTCACCCATTATTGCTCCATATCAGGCCTCCACTTGTCCATCTACACAGGGTGTGGCCTGGTGAAATAATATTGTACGACATGGTATTGTTTCTAGGTAGGTACTTTCTTACTTGGTATTTACATTTATCTTCCATCTTGTCTTCTAGCTCACGAGCTGTCACGATTGAAACTCAAGTTTTGTCCTAATATTATGACAATATTAATATTTGTTACGAATTCTTCGCTACGTATGTTTAATTAATCTTTAAACGTAGGTACTAAGCAGATGGATGACCACCTATCAGGGCGACGCGACGCAGCGATTCCATTCAATGTTATTTGATTAAATTCCATTTTAATATTTAATTACCAATACAATTAGGTATTAAGAAGGTTCCACGTGATGACTTACGTTTCTTTCTTAAGGAATACGAAAACTTATCTTATCTATGAAGCTCAAATTTCATTTGTATTAAAATAATCTTAAAATTAGTCCGTAAAGCATAGATAACATTTTTATCAAATCAAATTATAACGTCATCCATTTAATAATGATAAAAAACGGTGACTTGTTCGCAAGAAACGAAGTCAAGTTCAATGGCAAAAGAATATTGAATAACGAAAGCCAAGTTTCGAAAATGGTTAATTAAATATTTCAAAAATTTTATATATGGCAATACATAGTAATAATTACATACTAAACAATTTGTTACTTGAAGGAAAACAGTGTTTAGTTTAAAATAGCAATGTACCGAGAGCCAAAAATTCCAATTAAAAACAGAAATGCAAAATTCTACTTTTAAAAATTCTGCCATATTTTATCCTAACGTTCCGTTTTGGCAAGTAAGTACTACCTATTTATAAATACCTACTTATGACAGTGGCATAAAACTGAATATAAAATAGAAAAATTAGCGTATACCAACCAGTACCAATGTATGAAAGTAGAATATTTCAAAACTCGGAATAATTACACGTTTTAAAGAATATTATAACGGGCAGCATAAGTTGGGAATGTAGTGCGTTACATAACTAAGCAACAAGCGGTAAATTCGTAAAAATAAACCTATACATTGTCAAGGCCTCAGGCGATCTGGCATGACACGAGGTGATAGGTAAACAACTGTTTTTCATTCATCAAGGGCAAATAGCGTGTGAATGACTGAAAATCTACCGGTTTGAGAACAACAGATACAGCAGGCATGTCAGTACTGTCTTACTCTACCTGCAATTTATTTTAGGAAGTAAAAAATTATAAATAAACAAACAGAAAGCAAACGTCATTTACAACCTGTCCGCAGTAGCAATGGCGAATCGTTTTGGCAACAAGCTAGTCGCAATTCATTACGTATCGTGCTCGTAATAACGAGCACGATGAATAGTTAACAAGTCAAATGATTCGCGTCGTGTCGCGGCCTAGCAGACTACGCCGAGGGCATTCAACCTCGCGGACGGCGGCGCAGCGCGAAGCTGCTGCTCCTCACAATGACCATGACATCGAAATCAACACGACCGCCTCCACTTCGGTCACTGGAGCACTGACACCACGGAGTAAAAAAATCGAAAATAGTGAAATGGAATTCAGTCAAGATTCATAACAGAAATCTTCCTCAACTAACCTGTCAGAAGACTCGGAGCTGTCGTATCTGTCGAAGCATCGCTTCTTCCTTTCTTCACCGTCCTTGATGCCCGCCTCGCACGATTTTCGGGAGCCCGCCGAAGCGGCCGCGGCGGAACGATTAGCGGCCACGCCGCGAGAATCACTTTTCTCACACGATTCACTCGCAAGTTCGGTGTAGAACGATAACTTCATTCTATCGCGTTCAAATGGTTCATCACTGCACTTTTTTGTGTCACTATGCCCTGTCTTGGACGCGGAAAAAGTTAATTCGTTCATTTGTCTCGGGTCGGTGCGGTCTTCGGGCGACCCATCCGCCATCTTTGAGCGCACGAGTGTTTTGTCGCACGTTTCCATGCGGCGCCACGCTCAGCGGTGGCGCTGAAGTCGCGTGCGGCACGGGAGGGTAGAGGGGAGTCGTGACGTCACGGCGGCTGCGCGGCCGCGGGGGCAGGCACGTGACGTAACGGCTCCGCCCCTTGCATGTGCAGGGGCTCTGTCATTGGCCGCGGGTTACGCAATGCGAGCCTATTCAAACAGCCAAGGGAGCGTAGGACTTGCCTGGCCCTATAAGCCGTCCGTCCCAGTCCTACGGTAGTGCAGTATAATGCCCTACTGCACACTACACCCACTTCACGCACACACGTATATTATTTGGAAATAACAAGTGTCAAGCTATAGCAATGTAGACCTTATCGGCTTACAAATGAAAACTCCACGAGAATCTAGGTTACGAAATATTATTCTATTGTAGCAAAGTATCGCCATTAGAACAATCTTAACACTTTCGTCACTTTTCTCCTATATAGACGCCGATAGGTATCCTTTTCGATATGAATTATTTTTTTCATAGTTTTTATTGACTAACATCAATTTTTTACAAGCAAGCACCGTGTTTGCATTATCAAATCGATAGAAGTAGATAGGTACCTACCAACATAATGAGTACCTAGGTACTTACACCATAATACTTAGATAGGTAGAACGCTGTGACTTTTGAATTTTTGGTTGTTTTGTACGAGAGACTAATACTTTTCATTCCAAAACATAAATAAGTTGTCGAAACCGTTTTAAACATCTGTGTATGTACAATGTCTGTGCACCAAAGTTATAATTACCTACGAAATTTTAACAATCCACAATTTAATAAGACCATTATAAGGTAGTTGTAGGGTGTTTATTTTTGGAATATAAGTATGTACCACTAATAAACTAAGTATATATGTATATATTTCCGATAACAATTTTCCTACGTTCCTTAAAACGAATTAAAAAACATTACATATAGCGACTCTATTTTTCAAATCGATCGAAATAGCGATTTTCATCTTGCCCGCTGCAAACTTAGTACCTACACGATAACTAGCTGTAGCCTTGCTGTAGCTATAATAGCGCTACCGACCACCTCAGTCAACAAGTTCAAAAAACTTTTCGTAAAGAACTATAAACGACATCTAGTGATTATTATTAAAACTACGTAGTCAGGTAGGCGCATTGAATTTCACTTTAAAGTTAAGAGCGAAAGTGGTTCTTGATGAAAAAATAGATGGCGCTTTAAAATATGAAAATTGAATCGCACTCCTCATTGATCTTTATTTGGTAGGCCAATGGCACTCCTCAGCAATATTAGCAATTAGAACACTGATTGATGTAAGAAACGTTTGCGATTTTCCAAAAAATAAATTATAATTTCATCATTCATTAATAATAAAACGATTCTTAAACGTCAACAACCGAAAAACGCCCATCATACGCCCCACTGCTGGGGCACGGGTCTCTTCTCAGGCGAGGGCCACTTTGGCCCAACGAGTGTTGGGGACTGTACACGCTTTCTGGGGGCTGTGAACCGTCTTCGAAGTGTAGGTTTCATCACGACGATGTTTTCTTTCACCGAAAAGCTGATAAATTTCAAGTCCGGATTCGAACTCGCGGCTTTTACTTGAGAGGCGGCTTAGGCTAACACGGCTTACACGGATTCTTAAATGAATTTCACGAAAAATATTACTAACATTTCAAAATATATAAACGATTCTGTGGTAAAAGGGGTTAACCGACATTTACATACTGTTAACGATTTACTACTGCTTGGAACTTACACTGATGATAGTGACTTTTAAATGTTTATAAACTTTTCTGATTCGGGCACGCGTTAGTACGGACCTCTATAGTTTAATTATTATCAAATGAAACGACAAAAGTTAATAGAAAAATATATATAGTTTTTTAAAGGTACACAATATATCTGTAACGGCACAAACAAATAAAAATACAAAATATCTAATTAAATACTGATTGTAAATAGAGAAAAATAAATTTAAATCAATAAATAGTTAAGTTAAATTAAATCAGATAATAAAAAATCTCAATGCAATAAATTTTCATCTTACAATTACAGGCAATAAACTAAACTGTGTGACCATTGATTACAAAATTTGAATTGGTTTATTAAAATCACTGACATAACAAGAATATTTAGTTCATGGCAACATTATCAAAGCTCGTCGTATTTTAATATCCACTGATTTTGGTTGTGAGCGAAAATATACGTTACATTCATTATAAGAGATGTAAGAAATCATGGCGTCTATATGGGCTGTATTTACCTATCACGGGACCTCGTGATGCCATTTCCATTCTATTCTTACGTCACTATTTAAAACTTCACTATAGCTTTTTGAACGGAATATAGGCTCTCTTTTTTATTACTACTCTTTGTCTAAGCAAATTCAATATTTGGTTTGATAATAACACCGAATACACAGCGGCTCAGCTACAGAAAGCTATGGAGTAAAATATGGAATGATATAATTAAATGCTCAATTATAACAAGTCTTCACTAATATATCCGACGGAAAATGAATCATTCAAAAGTGAACTTAAAGCATGGTTCTGTATAGTACCCTTTAGCAGTTTAAAAAAAACACATTTAATCTAAAGATCTATTCTGCAAATACATGCATAATAAATAAAAATAAATTAGAATAACCTTACATACCTAGCTCATCATTTTGTTCATATAATTTATATAAAAATTTATGTAACACATAGAGGTAGGTAAACGTAATGTATTTAAAGAAATTAAACCTATCGTTGTAAGTAGATATAAAGCATTGCACACTTTACCTAATCTAGCGGTAACGTTTTTAATATTCCATCAAAAGCATGTGAAAAAGTTGGCCAGTTCTGAATAATAGAGAAGCGTGGCTTCTCGGATAACAGAATTTAAATCTAACTAGCCACCATGTTATATTAGAACACCTTCAATCTTAGCCACAGAATAAACATAACAATAGCGACAATGTGATCTAACTACTGTAATAACTAATAAATCATAACAATATTTTTACATAAAATTTATAAAAAATCTGCAATCAAACGCATAAGTAATTGATTAAAAGCCACATGCTATAAAACGGTCATTCTCGAATTAGTGTTCACTACCTGATTTCCGTGGCAATTATTATTAAGTATACGATTTTTTAGCGTGCAATATTATTTAATAATCGAGTATTTTATCAATTATGATATTATTTAATAATTACACGATATTATTTAAATAATAAACATTGCCACGGAAATTAGGTAGTGAACACTGGTCCGAGAATGATCGAAAAACTAACTCAAGTAGTCATGATTGCGACCGGAGACATTACGTACATATTAATTTCGAATAAAAAACATTTAAATAAGTATGTTATATGTTATATAATTTTTTTTTTTGATCTGACATCCCATCAGTAATATTGAAACTTTGTAATTCATTAATTCTAAATTGTTAGTGCTGTGTACACCTATGGCGATTTGGCATCTTGTATAGTGAACGTATGTGTATAATTTTCTAATAGTTATATAAATAATTAATAAATTTTTTCTTTATATAGATATTTATACATAGATTTAAATTAAAATTATAGTGTGTTTACAATACAATATCTTGAACATTTTCACAAGTCAAGGACTTGGGTCAAGAGTGTAATTAATTTGACGATTTCAAGTGTAATTTACCTATAAAATAATGATGTTTAGAAATTCTTATTTAACCAATTTGAGACTTTAGTGACGTCACAGTCTTGTGCTTGTACGCTCCGGGTTACAGTCCTAGTAACAACTTGGCGTGAACACGTTGCAATTTGACAAAGCGAAAGGTACAGGACCTCCAGTAATTAGTGTAGCATATTTATAGTCCAATCAGAATAAGGTATTGATGCAAGAAAAATGTATGTTTTTGTGTTCCGAATGATAAGGTACTATTTTTTTTGTTTAATATTTAATTTCGGAGCTGTAGAACCAACAGTTCTAGTAATTTTGATATTAAAACTGAGAAATATTTGCGTAGGCTACACTTTATCGTATAACGAAAAGGTTTGTCAAAGTCCTAAGAAATACAATTTATTAAGTAGAATTCTATAAGGTACGTTACTTATGCTGAGGTGGAAAACTTTTCCAAAGCTATCAGCCATAAAGAACCTATTTGAATGGGTGTTCTTTAGTTTGGAACTGCAAAATACCCGTTAAAATGACTACATTAAGTCCATAGAGCAGTGGGCAGCATTCCTTCCATAGAAGTTTTCCCAGGCGTTAACGTTTCATTGCACAGGAAATCTAAAGGCATATCGACTAAATATCCACTTATTAGATCTATTTTTCTGTTGGCGAGAGCTCTGTCTTTGTGCCAAAGGGTGGTGTTGTTCTCTTCTTGGTATCGTTTTAATTCTGCAAAGTTGTGAACTTTGTCTGTCGGCAGGCAGTGGAAAACCTGAAATGAAACAATTTTAGTAGAATGACAAACCAGTGAAAGTCCCAAAAATAAAGTTTTAAGCTTTTGTTGTACCATATGACACTTTTTAGATAGTAAGTTTAAACGTGCAAACGTCCTCCTTGACGATCCCCATCACCGCTCCTGCGTTTTACAACGGACTGGTATTTACGCTAGCGCTTTCTTTTGTTACTGCACAGAGTTATCATCGTTAAGAGAATAGGTTCCCAAACTTTGTGGCTCACCGCCCACTTAGGCAAGATAAAAAAATTTCAATGCCTACAAACACAAATAACAATTGAAAACACGTTTTTTTATATTAACTTGACATAAAAATTCACAAGGAAAGAACTAGATACTACAGGTTTTTTTTCAAATGCGGTAGAATTCCTTGGACAGTATCAACGCCCCCCAATTGCTTCAGAGGCCCAAATCGCCCTAGGAATCTTTAGCGCCCACATTGGGTTAGGGACCACTTAGGGAAACTATGCTTTAAAACATTAAGCATCGGCCTTTTCGAATATTATTACAATTGCATTGCGGGATCTATTTTGTACGCAAGCAAAATCTGATGGACGTGGAACAAAAGTTGTTGTTTATGATGTTGTAATATAGTCCTGTGAGGTTGTTAGTATTTAAAAAAAACCCTATAATATTTCTTCTACTAATCAAAGTATGTTATTTTTTGTATATGAATACAACTCACTATAACGAGCTTAATATGCGAAGTGCTAAATCGAAAACACATTGGCTATAATTATTTTTCTGAAAGTCAATTACGACATAATGGAGTAGTAGAATTGATTTAAACGCGCGTAAAACGCGATATGAACGAGATTTGAACTCGCTTATCACGCACTTTAGTATAGCTTTGTATTGCTTTTATTATTGTCTTTGCATCGATACAAACGTACGCACGTTTATCTGCTCTTCAGGCGTCTACGCATAATAAATACGCTGTTTGCATAAATGAATGACAAGAAAATGCGGTTAGAATATAGCAATTGTTACTTCAACGATACACTGTTGGCAGCAGGAACACCATTTTTTTTCTATATTTAACGTTACTACTCTTACATATGACGACTTTTATTATTACTACTCTTACTAAATTTCCGATGCCTCGGAAATCTTGGAAAAGTGCTTCACATTACGTAGAACAGAACTGCCAAAGCATCAGAGATTGTTACATGGCTCTCAAATTAAAAGTAATTTTATATCATAGCAATATTGTGAGGCTTCTTCTGGTACGATGACTAGCGTAACGTGTAGTTTTGTGCAAAAAATATGAAATTTAGCATTACAAAATATAATGGTTTCCCACGGATTTTTTTGTAATAATCACCAAAGCAAATTGATCCTACTGAGAATCGAACCCGGGACCCCCTCACCAAGCGCCCATAGTGCAAACTATTAGATTATCGAGGTCGTTAGTTTAACAATCAGCGCACATGTCTAGGCCATACACTAATAAATCCATACAGATACCTCTTCATAAACTTCGGTATTTGTCCGTGACGTAGCCTTCCATACATTTCTATAGAACTGTTCGTCGCAAGGATCATCGATGTTAACACCGTGACTTTTCAAGTCAACGTCTATGAGACCGAGGTGTTCCCTGAACAGCAGCTTGCGCAAGGCACCTGCGAGTCTCCCGTGCGGGTATGACTGACCGTTCATTACGCCATCGTCGAATTGCTCGTCCTGAAAAGATTTCATAATATTACGCATTGGGAATATCAAATAATAATAATTTATTTATTTCTCATCACAATACAAGGCAAGAAATGTAATAAAATAAAAGTTATGAACTATTGTATAGATATTGTGGGAGACTGATGCCTAAGCAAGGCTCAAGGCCTGTGTTTCAGAACACCAGGTCTCCACCCCGTGAGAATAACATTTCCAATAATATTTATTATATTACTAGAACTCTCCAATGGGGTAACAGTGAGATAAAGAATTAATTAATCAAGTTTAATTCATTTTAAAGGAAAAAGAAAAGTGTTAGAATCTAGTATTAGTAGGGTTAGTTTTACTGTTTGTGTGTGTTTGTGCGTGTGTGTGAATATTTGTGTTATTGAAAGTGAAATTAAATATATGTATACATGTAACTAAACTAAACTGGAGCAGTCAGTAACTTTTCAGTCTCATCATAACTTAGCTCCCACACTGTAACTTTATTTTTGCAAGAGTTTTTGTTTAGCATTTCATTATTGAGACAGAACAGTATTCATTGCCTCTGTGGCCGAAGGTTAGCATGCTGGACTGCCATGCAGAGGTTTCGGGTACGATTCCCGGGCCGGGAGAAATATGTGTGTGGCTTACATTTATTTCTCTCGTGAGTTTGAGTGTAATTTGTGGTTTCTATGTGTGTGTCCATGGCACCCGCGATACAGGGTTTCCCTATTGTGGGGCTATGACTGTGTGCGTTTATGTTTATAATACTTACTTGTAAAAGTACAGCGATCTCAGAATCCCTTTTTCCTACCATGGAGCGATCATTGATATTAGCGCTTCCACAGATGACAGTTTTGTCGTCAGCGATGAGAAGTTTTGAATGGACATAGATGAGCTCAGTTATTGGTTCTCCTTCGAGGATCGAGTGCGTGCGAAGACTGTGGAAGGTGATATACTCCGACGGATCTGGTACTCCTGATTCGTAGAGACGGGTGAGAATCGCTTCACGGCTCCTGGAATTGGAATATAATATGAAATATTTGGTAAAGAGTAAAATTAAAGTCCTACATTTAAAAAAAAAATTCATGACCATGGATTCAAATCTGTAATGTTTTTCAGTTGAAATATTACAGATAGTAAACATAGTAAAGTAACATAAAAAGTGATAGCAACAGCGTAGTAGTAGAAAAAATAAATTGAATTGAAAATTCAATGTTAGTGTTAATAAATTAAAATTTATTGTATTGTAAAGAAATTATACTCTGTCTTTTACGAAGACGGAGTAAAATGACATTTGTTTGTCATGTTTTCATGAAATTTTAAATAGTCATGCAGTTGTTCTCGACAGTTTTATCGATAGATTGTGAAAGAAGGTAAAATTTTCCAAAAATCGCCAAAATTGCCAAAAATCTATGAATTATGAATGTTACGACGACGTTCTAATGATTACTAATTGAAGAACAGGCAAATTTGATTATTTGTATTGAAATAAAATGATAAAACTTTAAAATATGTCTCCTCTTTGTATTTTTAATAGACATACTTCGAAATGCAGTGTATGTAAACTTACAAAGATTGACAATTCAAACGAACCTGTGCCCAGCAGTTGGAAATGAAACAAATTCGGCTATTTATTGCATAAACGTAATCAACATTCAGTCGATAGTCGATAGAATATTTCGACTCATCCGAAGAACAAAGTCCGATGTGATTATACAGTGAAAATAGGATAAACACATAATCTCGATATTCAAACTAAGACGTATACCTATAGATGTTTCCAGAATTTTTGTATCATATTTCGTTTCGGAAATATAAAATCGAACAACGGTTGATCTGGTATCAACAGCGAGGACAACTAATGAATTGTGCACTGTCCTAAGAATAAGAAATCTTGCACATAAGTCTTTGTTCTACGGATGAGTCGATTTATCGACTGCAATCATATAAAGCTGCTAGTAAGCGGGCAAGACTTTCGCGCATTGAATTGTCGTGTTATTCCATCTTCAAAAAGAACAGACTCTATATAAAGTTCGGTACTATTCTGCAAAATAGTGAATGTTAAAATGAAACCAGTCAGACTTTGAAGATGGCTATTGAAGTTAGTTACTCTCTTTAAGGATACTTTGACGACTAAACTGTGATGTTAAATAATCATTACCAGTTACAGCGTTAGTTCACGAGTGAACTGGAAGAGTTGTCGACTTAAAACAGACAGCTGTCTTTGTCTCTATGTATCTCTATGCCGCTTGAAATAAAAAGGTTCCAAATTTCAGTGGCAAGTTTGATTGCACTTTTTTTTTTTTTAGTAAATACTTAATTTCAAGGGCGTAGTACATACAGAAGACACAACACAATTCGCTGCCTCGTAGGAATAGTGACTCAAACCGAAATAGTTCATTTTTTACTTCGTTACGCAAGTATAAAGAATGTGCAAAATTTAGACACCAAGCTTTTCATTGGTTTAAATGATTACTTGACAACATTGGGCATCAGTTTTTTGTTTTAACCCTTTTTTCTGGTGATGTAGGTTACCAATCTATAAAACCATCGGTTATGAAATAAAATGCAATAAAGCACCTAGAGCCATGCCACACGACGCGTTGCGTAGACGTTGCGTTGTGACGCTGCATTATACTACATATAAATGAGAACGACATGCCACACGGTGGCATCATATCATTGCGAGGACACAAAGCATGTGTACCATCACTCTTTTCAAGCCAAATAATACAGTATTACCGGACACTGTAAGTAAATCAACTTTAATACAAACCTGCATATACTCTGATAGTTCCAATGGGTGATGGCGTGCAGCGACGTGCCGGAGGGCGCGCCCACCTCGCCTTCAAAGCCAGGCAGCAGCGGCATCACTACGTACACTCTGAACGTTTCCTTCGCGCGGTACGCCCGCATTATCCTGTTGTACAGGGCTTCACCCACCTGACACATAAAGGAGCCTGTTGTAATTAAACTACTTCTACATTCAGTCTCAACTTGCTAAGAACCAATAGCTCATATAATACAAGTTTCAATTTAGGGATATAGGTGATTGGAGAATTGATGCGGGAAATATCGCTGCCTTCATACTATAACGCAGTATTAATAAATTGCTGAATATTAAGATTTTGAATTAAGGACACACTGACGAGCAGAATAAGTGAAACTTTTTCGCCAATATATGTATAGTATAATATCAAGTGACGGGACGAACAAGTCGTGCGCCTGGTGGTAAGCTACACGCTTTAACTGCCTCCGTGGCCGATCGGTTACCACGCCGGACTGCCACGCAGAGGTCCCAGGTTCGATTCCCGGGCCGGGAGAAATATTTGTATGGCCTACATTTATTTCTCTCGTGAGTTTGGGTGTAATTTGTGGTTGTCTATGTGTGTGTCCATGGCACCCGCGACACAGGGTTTCCCTAGTGCGGGGCTATGTTGGTTGTAAGCGGTTGTAAGCGTTAAGCATGTCCATAACAGTTGCAGTGCCAATCAGAGCTTTAAATCGCAACGACATGAGGCGCACTGCCATGTACCCGTCACTCTGAGACATAAGTTGACAAGTCCCATGTGCCTCTAATTTCACCAGCACCCTTCAAAACCGGAACACAGTCATTCTATTTCTGACATTACTGCTTGGCGGCAGAAATAGGTAAGGTGGCAGTACTTCCCTGGTAAAGTAAAGTTTTTATAAAGCAAGGGAAATTGAGAAATAGTTTACGAGTGGTTACACACGACGACTTTTAGTAGCGATACAAACGCGCGCTCGTGAAATTTGCAATTACATCGCTACACTTGCGATTTATAGGCGATTGCATCGATACAAACGCACGACTGCATCGATACGGTCGCTTATGTTAAATTACTATGTTGATAAAAATGGAAGTAAATTAATCTGCTACTCCGAGAACCCAGTGAAGGTTAAATCGTGCAAAATAGCCGCGCTTGTGTTAAATTTTTTTCATGCAATTAATTATCCCACCCTCCCTCCGCATAAAATGAATAAAATAAATAACACAAGCGCAACTACAGTCACAAATCACATTCGAAAATGTACTCGACACGTGTTTCGCCTCTTCTAGAGGCACCCTGAGAGGCTGTTGACTGCTCGTCTCTCGGCTGTAGAGTGAACGAGATTATTATGTACTAAAAATTTTACAGGTTTATGCACATTGTTTTGTTAATTGTAAATTTGAAAGCGAAATTAATAAATACATTAAAATAATAAAATTAGTTAATTAGTTATAAACGTGTACCGCGTCTGCATCGCATTTATATCGCGTTTGCATCGCATTTGTATCGCGTTTGCGTCACGTTTGCATCGCTGCTAAAAGTTGCTTTAACTCGATTAGATTTGGTACAACATATTGCTCAATGAACTGTGAATAAAATGATTGTTTGAAACTATTTTTTTGGATCTCAATCGTGTGTATTCTTTTTCAAACAAACTGATGTTTCGGGCCCTTTACATGTCCCATGGTCACGGCTGAGTGAGATAGTAAAGTCATCAACCAGGTATCTCTAATCCAAATAAACATATCCGTACGTAATTTAAGTTAGGGGGTGTCTTTTATATTATTGTACCTGTTTTTATACCCATAGTTTTTGTTACAGCCTTTTCCTTCACAATTTCCCTACTTTGTTATTTATACTTTATACAATAAAATTCATGTGAACTGAGCGTTACTCTCATTATTACGCAAGACTCCTTCGTGACAATTATATCCCAATGGAGTAAATTCAGAGAATAAATTCCAATAAATACATCTCTTGACATTATCAAAACAGAAAGACCCAGATTGCAACTCTATTGGAAAATGGCATTGGAGAATAGCCTTACCTGATTCCTAACAATTGGATTAGACCGTGACAATGTGATGAAGAACTGATTCTCAATGTAGACATAGTGCTGTGCTCTTGTGATTGTGTCTACGTAGGCCTCGTGTATGCTTTGCTCTACTGTGTCCGGGTCTAAGAATCCACAAGACCAGCTTGATACACTGCGCAAAACCTGGAACGTGTTAAGAATTATTTATAGACATTTGTAGGGTTACCAGTTTCCACAAAATTTTAAATTTGACATTTTCTAATATTTGACCATTGTGTGTTATAATAACAAAAGGACCTATATTGCGTTGATATTAAAGTCCAACATACTTTCATGATCCGATAGACCGAGACCACACACACATTTCTAGGATTCCTAGCCTTATGGCAGTTACATAAGAATTATTGAATATTTGTGCAATCTAGAGTTGAGTAACGGAATTCCTAAGCCAAACAGTCCATTATAGAATTAGACGTAGCGTGATCAGAGTAAGTAAAAAAGTTTAAAACTTAATTTGAATGTAAATTACCTGACATGACACATTATGGATGTCATTTATGAGGTATTTTTCGAGATATTGCAATGGTTTGATGTCATTGTACGATTTTGGCAGTAAGTAGGGGTAGTTTGTATTTTGTCTGAAACAACATAAATATATAAGATAATATAAATTAAGTCCAATAATATGGTGAGGTTCAAAAGCCTGTGAATATACCTGGCCTTCTCCAGCTTAATAGCGTTCCAGCGCTGAATGAAGTGCCTGGCTACGTCTCTTGCTGCAGCACCTTGTAGGATCACGCCTACGTCATGCCAGGGCATCCGCGGAGTAGAGTTTCTGTCCACTAAGTCTGGAATTAAAAAACAAAAATAAAACGGTGTATTATTCCTCCCTGTTAGAATTCGGTTAGGTAATTGGAATGTCATCAATTGAAAGTGGCTTATAGAGTGGAAGTGAATAATAGTTAATCATCACGCGTCCTAGAGGCACCCGGTGTCCCTGACAATATTGTTACTGTAGCGCCTTCGAATCAACTTGGAAGATAAGCGATCTTTAACTTTATTCTTTATATCTTAATAAACTGTAATTAGCTGGTAGATGCAGGCACAGGAAAAAAACGTATTTTTTTTTTCAAATCTCTTCTAAGTAGCAGCACTCTTGATGGAGTGGTCACGGTCATCATGAAGAATGTTTGTCAGGGGCTGAAGTGGCTCGCCTCACGTCAATTTTTTTATAATGCCAATTAACGGGACGAACAAGTCGTAGGCCTGGTGGTGAGCGACACGCCTGCCTATGACAGTTGCAGTGCCACTCAGAGCTTTAAAACGAAAAGATCGGAGGGGCACTGCCACTGCGCCCGTCACCCTAAGACATAAGTTGACAAGTCTCATGTGCCTGTAATTTCACCAGCACCCTTACCCTTCAAAACCGGAACACAGTAATGCTGACATTACTGCTTGGCGGCAGAAGTAGGTAAGGTGGCAATACTTCCCTGGACGAACTTTTTCACACGGAACTATCCTGCTAGTAAAATCTCGCCATCTCTCTCTGTTGGTGGATTATCTGGTGCAGTCGTGCAAAAGATCGGCCACAGCAGATTTTATTTGATCGTTACATCTCTTATAGTGGTCCATATCAAAATAGTAATTTTTTACTTATTATTTATTTATATATAATTTTTTATATATAATTATTATATGTGTTCAGTACATGCAAAATTACACTGTGCTTTACATTGAACATAAGTATTATTATTCATACAAAGATTGAATGTTACAAAGATAATTCATTCGATCTGACTCTCTCTGGGCCACCGTTCTTATCAACTACAACTGAGCTACAGACCGAGTCAGCGGATTTTACGAATTTCTCTATGTGTTTGATACAGATTTTTGTGTTGGGTTTAAACGGCTGTTTTGTCGTCGGCGCCTCATGATCTTTGCGCCAATAATAATGGAACAGAGCTCCTTGTGAAAAGGGTTCATCCAGAAAACTACATGTGAGCATTATTGCGTTGTTTTGAAGGTTAGGGCTGCTGGTGAAAATACTGACACATGGGATTTGTCAACTTATGTTTCAGAGTGACGGGCGCAGTGGCAGTGTCCATAAGATATTTGCGGGTTAATGCTCTGAGTGGCACTGCAACTACTATGGACAGGCATGTCGCTTACCAACAGGCGCACAACTTATTCCCGGCACTTGGTATCATAAAAAAGGGTATTCACAAAAAATATATGAACTAACCTATAAACGGCAGATCTAAATTATTAAAATCCTTCACAATGAAGTTGGTGTAATCCTTTCCGATCCATAACTTGGAATTTCCTTCAATATCTTCCAAAACATCCTTCGTGCTGTCCGTTATCACCCTTCCTTCAACTACTTGCGCCAACGGCGTAGGTTTACTAACAATTTTACTAACATTCTCCGGTTTTATGCCCAAAACTTCAGTGAGTAACACTTGGTCTGTAGAAATGGCGTATTTTTCGGCTTTCTTTCTTTCCGTTACGTCGAATTTCTGCTCATTGCGTTCCTCTTCAAACGGAGGGTAGATTTTGCTTATTAAGTCTTTGCCTATGTCTTTGCCTCTATCTGAGAGTTTGTTTAACATATTTCGTCGTTGTAGTTCCGGTGTGTCGCTTTTAGCCATGTCGCTTTGGTCTGTTGATGCAATTAGGATCTTATCGGTTGGGTCTTGTTGTGTGCCCGAAGTTTCAGGTGTTTGTTCTTGCGATTCTTCGGTTTCGACTCTGTCTGTCTCTATGACTGGTCCCCTGTAAGTCGGATAGAAATAAGGAATGTGCTAAAGATTTGTGCCAAAAACCTGTGTAATGATTCGCTATTTGTTCTCAATGTAAGCTCAGGGAAGTTGCGAGGCTTTCCCAACACACGCATAAATTTGCTTAATGGGAAAACTTCATCTACGATATTATAAAATTTGAGAAATAAATACGTTTTTATTTATTACTATGTATTAAAAAAGGATTATACGTTTATCTAGAGAATGGTCGAAATTAAGAAAAAAATACACCCACGAAAATTTGTTAAAAGAAATATTGCGCACAGAACCAGAAGACTATTCCAAATTCTTTGTTTGTTAAACACACTGTTAAACTAGATTTACATCAAACATATAAACACGTAAATTATTTGACAAACACACTAAAATTGCAAATGGCCATAAAGTTTGGAAAAACATGTGAAATTGGTCAATTTGTTTGATCGTTTACAGGGTGCTTTATAAATTTGATAATTAGCATAACGTGCACATAAGCTTTATAAACACTTACTCGTTCAAACCAATAACAATGTCTTTGGAAGTCTTAGCTAGCATAATAGCAGCTTCTAGGCCATTCGAATTGGGTAGGCAGATACCACCGCCAGGCGAGCTGGACGTCTTCTTCTTCGATTTGATTGAAGATGTCGGTTGAGCTATGTTACCCAGATCTGTCAGCCTGGAATTAACATATCATTACATTAAATTACCGAACAGTGTAGTAAGAGAGCGTTGTGGTATGAAAGATGATGCCGCGACCAGGATAGAGAGGGGGATGCTTCGATCCTTTGGTCATGTAGAAAGAATTAATTAGAGAATAGAATTAATAAGCGCGGGGGCTCTGGGCTCTTACACATAAACACGATACGATGTCGTGTCGTGCTACGACGCGGCATTGTTTCACGATGCGACGTCGTATCATGGAAATCTACGACGAACAACGTGAAAATTTACGACACGACATCGCCACTTGCCAGGACGCACGGCACGACGTCGTATCGTAGAAACTCATGGTACGCTCCCCAGTGCTGCATTCATTTGTTCTTCAATATTCAAAGATGACTTTGTATTCGTTTCGTCCCATAGTACTGGACGCACCTCGACTAGGGTTATTAAATAATTAACCTCAATGTAGTCTGTCACCTTTGAATATTGAATAACAAATGAATGCCGAGCTGGGGAACACACCGTGTGTTTCTACGATACGACGTAGTGCCGTGCGTCGCATCGTGATACGATGCCGCGTCGTGCACGATGCGACGTCGTATCGTGTTTATGTGTATGAGCCCTCTGTCGGCTCTGCAACCGCCGCCGCCTCGCATTATTCATTCGAATATTTGGCATATTTATAAAATTGTTTGGAATTGTGAACACAGACAATCGCGCTTACCTGTGTCTATGATCATCCCATCTGCCATAACAGAGGTCGATTCCGCCCACGAAAGCAACGGTTTGATCGATGCAGACAATTTTCTCGTGATGAGCCCAGAATAACACCCCTGCGCGCGCATGGTCTGGGTGACGGAAAACCTAGGTAAGTATAATTTTGTTACGCAAATTTATTATAATATAAAGGCATTCTGTAACAAAGCAATGATATTATACGGGGTCTAAAAGTGTTTTGAAATCCAGGGATTGGTTTATGAAAATGTATAATATGATTGTAATCGATTGTAAGGTTTAAACATTGAGGGGACTTTTAGTTTCAGCAAGTAATCACTGCTTGTCACGAGTCTCTTTTAAGTGTTTATTGCTATAATAACAACGTTAATTAAAACATTTAAGTTATTTATGATGAGATTTATTTCTTTTCTGTACCATTTAATGTAATAAACAGTATTACTATGAAGACAAAGTCATTCGACCACAGAGGTCGTCAGTATCGTCAGTGTAGGTCCCACGTCAGGCTTGACTAAGGGACTTTTAAAGGACCGGAAGCGTTGTTTTGTTTGAAAAAACAAATATACGTGATTCATATCCGTAAAAATAGTCTTATTTCCAACGTGTAACCATCGCTGAAACCTAACAATTTCATTATTTTATTTTTGTTATCATTTTGTCATAATATGTAAACAAAACTAAGGCAAGAAATATTTAAAAAAAAATGGAGGTAAATTAATTTGCTACTCCGGGAACCCAGTGAAGGTTAAACGTGCAAAATAGCTGCGTTTGTATTGAATATTCTTTCGTGCAGTTAATTGTCCCACCCTCCCTCCGCATAAAGTTAATAAAATAAATAACACAAGCGCAACTGCAGTCACATACCATCACCAAAAATATACCCGACACGTGTTTCGCCTCTCCACGAGGCATCCTCAGGGGCTGTTGACTGCTCGACACTCCTTCCACTTCCCTAACCTTCACTGGGTTCGCGGGGTAGCAAATTAATTTAGTTCCATTTTTATTAACATGGACTTCCGCAAAGTAACGCCTGAATCTATTAATTACTTGAAGAAATATTTTATTTTTCTTTCTTCCTGCTATAAAAGTTTACTTCTAAAACAATTTCCTTTTTATTGTAATAGTAATAATAGTCTCCTTAAAATGCCTGTGAGGAGATTCCACTCTATAACAATAGGAGCGACGGGCCCATATTATATCGATGGGTACGGGTACACGTCAATGTTTAGAGCATTTATATTAACATAGTTTGTAAGTATTTTGTTACTAACACTATTTGGATATTTTATTATGAAAACTAACGCGGTTATCACACATTATAATATAAAAGTAACAGGACTTACTCGCGTAGTATTTTAGTCGGAAGCGGTCCAACTAGTTTCGACCATACTCGATGGTCTTCTTCAGGGGTTGAGTGCACTTACTACTCCTAACATCTAACTAAGTAACTAACCAAATGTTAGTAGTAACGACGTGGTGAGCTCTGTGTGCTGGACTGTTCCCGACAACAATCCTAAGGAAAGCAGTAGCCAAGAAGAGTTCCAGGACGCCCTGACGCAACTTATCAGCCCCCCGAGTTCCCCACTGCGTTAACGGCGCGCGAGTTAAGCTCTTTCGGAGAGCTTTCATAAAAAAATATTTTTTTTTTTTAGAAAAGTTCATTTTAATTCACAATTTTAGTACATGTTATTACTGTCTTAAATCTATCTTAATACTAATTGTCAGGATGCATCAATTCTCCGGCGCAGAGCGCGTTATCGGACAGGAAATGCAACCTCATGTCTGGACTCTATGACGTCGAGGCATTGATGCAGGCCAGGCTTACTAAGAACTAGCTAGAACTTACATAACACACGCGCAGAGAGACGCAGCGCGCAGTGCTAGACGTGACGCGGTCGCGAACTTTGCACTCAACCCCTGAAGAAGACCATCGATTATGGTCGAAACTAGTCGGACCGCTTCCGACTAAAATACTACGCGAGTAAGTCCCGTTACTTTTATACTATATGGATATTTTGTCCGAAATAAAGATTTCAATTGAATTAGGCTACCACGGCTTTCGCTGTAAGCGCGATTACGCACTGCTTCCGATTGAATCCGGGACTACACAAGTCTAGAAATCTAGGACCCTCCTCGGTTGTCGTTTGTGTACTAAGTTCGATTCAAATCTGAATAATACGTATATCGCTTGTACACTTCGATAAAACGACACTTCGGAAAAGAATCGGACGCAGTAGTGCGCAAACTCTATAGTATAAATAAACTTTATGATAATATGGGAACAATATCTCACCTTGATATTTTCGCTAACCAGCCGACTTTTGCTGTAATAACTGTTAATACCGAGCGCCATTTCCACTTCTTTGTACAACATAACGAACACTTTTACACCTTGAGCCTGGAATGAGAAAAACTGACGTGAAGAAGCTTTTATTTATTAATTAATCACCATTGACTTATCAACAAAAGGGCAGCGGGATGAAAACCACGAAAAAGGTTTTCTGAATTAATCTATAAAATATAAACGTAATTACATGCATAGAACTATAAATAAACTAAAACATTTTAATATCAATTGTAATATTATTGTTTAACTTTGCTTGCAAAATTCACCGTATGTAGTTTCTACTAAAAACTACTTGGATACATGAGTAATGGAGTAGCTTTCTGTTTCTGTTTTGCTTCTTCTTCTTCTTTTAAATGTTATGGCTCCATCGACATAATCAATGATTTTGCCAATGTCAAGCAAAAATAAATCGGACACTTTTAAGCGCAGATCCGATGACGTTTAGTTGTTGATATGGCAATGTTCTTCACGATTAGTGTTGGGGTCATGAAAAAATTTCCATTTTGAAAAAAATCATATTTTTCAGAAAAATAAATATTTATCCGGATATTTTTCCACATTTGACGTTGACACCTGTCAAAAGTTGAAGGTTCTGAACGAAAATGATAGAGCCAACAACAGGTGGTGGTGGTACGGTTGTTGGAGGTTTTTTCGCTGTTGTGAAATAATTTCGAATCTAGTTTTTCTTTTACATGGCTTTTAGCTATACAAGTTTATTTTATAATTCACGCTAAATAAAACTTCAAAGGATATTTCTAAACGTAGAACATAATATGAGCCTTCGAAATTATATTTTTCCAATTTGGAATTTTTCGGAAAATTACCCAACAGTAGTCACGATGTACGGACGGTCGGGAGTATGCTCCCGAGTATGGGTTAAGTAATAATGGATGGATAAGTAGACTATAATCAAACTTATTTTGTGACGAAGTAGACGTTACAAAATAGGTTTGATTATAGTGCAGTAGGTATGCAGTAGGTAATGGTAAACTACGCCTAGTTTGAAGCACATGGTGGGTTAACGTTTTATTTGCAAAATATTAAAGTACTTTTGGATTCACTAAACATTAAACATGTACATTACTTAAAATTAAGTTAAAAATTAATTACGTCGTCACTTAATACGCGTAAACCAGCAATTATAATACTTACAGCCTTCCTCTTAAGTATAGTATCAAGTCTCCAATAGTTGCCATTGAGCGCTGGTCGTTTCATATAGATCTCCGGGCTGAGCCACCAGTCAGCGATGAAGATCTCTTCAGTGGCTAGCTCCATGGCGTCGGCCACGGCGGACAGGTACGCGGAGCCGTCCACGAGGGAGCCCACGGGAGTCGCAGGCCGGGGGGGTGCGAATGAGTGGTGCACGTTGGGGTATGTAAAGTCTCGAGCTGTAACAAAGGTACCTCATGTACATACATTGTGCTTTTTTTAACTGGGACGGTATGCGGAAATCCGAAACCATAGGACCTACAAGAAAACTGTCATAGGAACCATTAGGTCTTTTTTAGTGAAAGCTTGTTTGGGATGGTAAATGTTTTGGTCAAGCGACAAAACTGAATCACATTTTTAATTTTTTTTCTAATGCTGATCGACTCGGTATTTTGTAAGAATCATTTCGATACCTCCAATTTTTAGATCATCTCTGCGTTTTGTTTACTTTTTCACAAAATTCCTTTCTTGATTTTGTTATTTTGTTTCTTTATTTCGGGGAGCGTAATATTAGTAAATAAAATGAGACTGATTACATTGAAAACGGAAGATGACAAAATACAATAAGTAGTGTTCTTTGGAGGTATTGATTTGATTGCATCGGAAGAATCGGGACAGAAGATATATAATAAAATGAAATAGAGAAATTACGCTTGATCAAAAAATTTACTGTGCCCAAAATTATTTTAAAAAAGCCCTAAGGCGGTTTCTCTGTATTTCCAATAGATTCGCGTTTCCTTAAAAAAAACACACTGTATACATTTATGAACGTAATGAAAACGTGGCATATAATGTGATTTACCAGTTTGATTAGCCACAGCTTTCAAATGATGCATCCATTCTTTGCTTTTTCTCTTAGTCCAGCATTTGATCACCATCTGTCTGCTCTGGTTCAGGATTTGAAGTCCATGGTTCAATCCCGTCGAGTACATTCCGCTTGATACTTCAAAACTGTAATTCGTAATTTTTATTTTGTGTTATAGATTAATCACTATAAGCAACACTCGGCTAAGTAAAACTAACTTGTTTACTTGTGTCAACGATTATTTACGGAAGGGGGGGACTCCACCCATATCCGTAGTGTGAAAACTAAGCAAGGGACAAAGGTAGTGAAGAAACGCTGCGCGCGCGTAACTTTTTATGGTAGTCACTAGTGAACATGCATGGAAAAAACAACACTGGAATTATTACGGACAGATTGGGATGCACGATGTTTTGCTCTGAGTCAATTTTTTGGATCGTAATGGACCATAATATGCCTCTGAATCGATCCACAGATCGGATCGTATGCTCTTGAATTGATCTCACAAAATCCGTTTCAAAAGTAATTTCGATAAGAAAATATTGATAGCTTTTGGCTTCAGTCGGTTACGACGTACATTTGGAGTGATACTAGCCAGTGAGAAAAGACGTTCAAATGGCACACAAGTACTTTTTGTCTTTGTTATAACATCAAGTGACGAACAAGTCGTGCGCCTGATGGTAATCTATACGCCTGTCCATAACAGTTACAGTGTCACTCAGAGCTTTAAATTGCAAAGATGGGGAGCACAACCACTGTGCCCGTTACAGACATTAGTTGACAAGTCCCACGTGCCTGTAATTTCACCAGCACCCTTACCCTTCAAAGTCGGAACACGTAATGCAGATATTACTGCTTGGCGGCAGAAAAAGGTAAGGTGACAGTACTACTCTAAAGTAGGGACAATGGACAAATTTAGTAGACTTAGGCTGCCGTTCCACCAGAGATACGCGAGGTAGCGAGGCGGTGCGAGGATGTGTAGCGGCGCTGTGAAACGGTGTGATGTTTTCCACCAAATCTGTGCGAGGATGCGTTATGAACACTTTTCAGCTTTGCGCGGGCGGGGTACGGTGTGGTGGGGTGAGGTGAGCGGTGGCGATATGTCAGTGTCAGTTACTGTCATACTTTCAGTAGCTCTAGTTTCGTATACCGTTTTGCACACATTCCTTGCCCGCATCCCTCGCACATATTTCTCGCTATTTTGTATGTAGAAATACTTAGCTCCGCCAACCCTTTTCCACCAGAGCTGCGTTAAGCGAGGCTTGGAAAATGAAGTAATCCCATTGGTGGATTTTTTCCTCGCACACTGCTTCGCTACGTCTCAGTCTCAGGTGAAAAGACAGCCTTATTGTACTTAGATGTTGCCAAACTGCTTTTCTCGCAGACCAATATAAAATATAAAATAGGTGTTCCGAAAGAGACTGTTTTGTTTAAATTATGAATACGATTCGATGTGCCTTAATTTTAAATCGATTCACTTAAAAATCGCACTGCAATTAATCGATACAATGAATCGCAATGTCGTATGCACTTGAATCGATCTTTATAAAAATTGAATTGTAATGTGCATCCCTTGGAGATCGTGATCGCGCTTAATTCGGCCGCGTATTTTCAGCTACATTCATCCTTAATGGTTGTCAGAACATACGTAGCAGTAGGTAATGAAGTATATTTTGATGTGTATGTTTAAAATTCTAGTGATCCACCGTTACCGGGCAATTTATATTGTTAGTTATTGTAACAAGTTTAAGTTCTTAGGTTTGCGCGATTGTTATGCATTGGAAAAGAGACAATTTTTTTCGAATGTAAATTGCGTATATTCCTTCGAGACAGACTTCGGAGCATCGCGGGGCATTTCTCTCTGCGTCTCAGAGCATTACAATTAATACCTTATTTCAATTGCAATAGCATAAAATGTACACTGATAAATTTAATGTCCACTGCCTTGCTGTCTGCCGCTTTACAAATCGCCCCCTCCTACGTAAAGTATCGTATGTCGAAATTGCCAACTTTACAGAGAAGAGTTTGCGAGATGAGCATAACACGTGACTTTAGCATTTCTCAGTTTTATTCGGCCAAGCTCGTTACTCACAGAGTATTATAAATCCTAGATATCGGTTAGATGATCTATTAGATGATCGCTCTTTCAGTGAATTCAGAACTTTAAAACGCTCCCCTATAAACTTGGCAATTTCGACATTCAACACTATTTACGTAGGAAGGGTCAAAATATACGCGATTTCATCTGAACTGGAAAAATAGTTACATTTCCAATACAATTTAAATTAACATATATTACTATTATTATAAATCAATGAACGGATCTATAAAAATTAGTCCATGTCCAACGACACATAGAAATTCCGTCACAGGTCAGTACGGTTAAATTTTTAGCACAATTATTTGCCTAATTATTATTTTACTTACATCTCCTTCGGTTGCGTGGAACAAACAATTATATGTTAAAATGACATATTTGGAAATATCAATTATTAAGTAGCATTTTTGCGAAATTGTAAAGAAATAACTTGTAAGAGTTCTTAGGTTGTTTTATATTTGTTTTTTCAAACAAACCAACGTTTCGGGCCCTTTACAAGTCCCATGGTCACGATGACTGTACCGCCTCAGTCAATCGTGGCTGTGTTTGAAAAATCAAATATACGCGATTTAAATCCGGAAAAATAGTTTCATTTCCTAACTTGTAAGAGCTAAACGGGTCACTACTAGGGGACTTTTGTCATCCAAGTACTCAGAAGCTTTATAATATTTAGTATAAAGTTTTTGTTTCACTATAGTTTTAAACCTCGTGAATGGCAAATTTAATATCAACCGGAATCTTATTAATAGAAGTGCATACATTGCCCCCACAGGCATATACAGGGTGGCCCATAAGTCCTTAGTAATGAAAAAAATTAATTAAAATAAAACTAATTACATTATGAATAATATTATTATTTGTAAATATAGCTAGAAAAACGGGAATTATTTTTTGTAAATAACGTCGTCCAAATGTAATCCGTTACAGTCACGACACTCTTGCAAACGCCTTCTGAAATTGTCGATGACTGCGCGGCACGTCAGTGCTGAAATGCTTGCCATTTCTCTGCGGATGTTTTCTTTTAGGTCATTAATTGACCGCGGGTTAGAGTCGTACACTTTAGCCTTAAGGTAGCCCCACAAAAAAAAATCCATTGGAGTCAGATCCGGGCTACGTGGTGGCCACGAAATGTCTCCTCTCTTAGAGATAACTTTGTTTGGAAAAAGTTGACGGATAACGGGCATAGCAGTATTGGAGGTGTGGGAAGTTGCTCCATCCTGTTGAAACCATGTTCGGGCATTAAAGCCTGGAAAGTTTTGCAATTTTTGTGTGAAAAACTCCTCGATCATGGCCACATATCGTTCCGAAGTAACAGTAACAGCACGCCCTCTGCCGTCCTCAAAAAAGTAAGGCCCTATGATGCCATGGGCTGACATAGCGGCCCAAACTGTAACTTTAGGGCTATGTAAGGGCTTCTGGTGCTTAAGTTTTGGATTAATCGGACTCCAATAGCGGCAATTTTGTTTACTAACGTGTCCGTTAATGTGGAAGTGTGCCTCATCAGAGAACATTATGTTATTGAACGAAGTAAACCGATTAAACATTTCATTAGCATAATTCACTCTCTGAATAGCATCAGTTTCTTTTAATTCTTGCACCAACTGAATTTTGTAAGGGTGCATAAGTAAATCTTTTTTCAAAATCCGTTGTAACGATGTCCTGGATACGTTTAATGCACTGGAACGCTTACGAGTTGACTGTGTTGGATTTTCACGAATAGATTGTGCCACTGTGTCGATGTTTTGTTCCGTACGTGATGTTCTTGGGCGACCCAACCGCGGTTTTATCTAACGTCGAACCGGTCTCCTCGAACTTAGCAACCCAATTCTTAATCGTTTGGAGAGCTGGGGTGTCATCAAAGTTGTGTAAACCTTTGTGTTCTCGAAATTTTCGCCTCGCAACGGTTGCCGAATTGTTGTTTTGATAAAACTCGCGCACACAAAACGCACGGTCCGCTCCGGTGAAACGCTCCATCGCGACTAAATTCCCAGAAACCGAAGTTACTGCCCCCGCTTCCCCTGCACCGCTCACGCGCGCCGTTTTCGTTTAATTCAAATTTTACTTTTCTAAGGACTTATGGGCCACCCTGTATATCTAAATATCCGGAAAAATATTTATTTTTCGGAAAAGTATTTTATTTTTTTCATAATGGAAATTTCAAAGACCCAACACTATTCATACTTGAAATTGTCTTTTAATTTGGTCGGTATTACCTATTTGACAGTAATTGTTTCGGGCGGATGTTGGACGGAGAAGGAGAGTAGATTCCCAGGGGTGTGATTCACGTAATCAAACCGTTGCGACATCGTAGCGATTTAGTCGTTGAACTGCTTTTTCGTATTCACGTGTGACAGTGAACGTCAACGAGTCCAATTTAAAAGTCGTTCGATCTAAATGTCGTTAAAGCGTATTTTATAGTCCATTTCAATAGGGATGACTTCTGTGACACTTTTAATTTTTACATTGGACGCATACTATTTATAACTAATCTGTCAACCAGGTTACAAAAACAAATATTACATTCGTTATAATGTAATATGTTGACTTTATGTAATATTGTGTATTTGTATGTAGTTTATGGTTTTTGGTAGCTTTTTTGTTTTGTGTGTTTGAAATTGTATTGTTATTGTTTCTTTCTTTATTTTAAAATACCTTAAGAATTATGTGAACACCTCTAATTGGCTTGCACATAAGAACTGTACCTAACATAATTGTTATTTTTAAATTTTGAATGTATTTATGTGTAAGTTGTTGGTTTTCCAAATAAATAAATAAATAATGTACAAAAAAAAACAATATTTGTTGTAGATGTAATTTTAAGTCAAATTTGTGGTATGTTATGTACATAGAAAATGAAATAATAAATATAAAATAAGTTACCTCGACTGCTTCATGCGTAAAACGTTATCCATAAAGATTTATACCATAGAATCGATAAATCGAATCGGCTTTTGTATTCGTGTGTGTTGATTTTATGCTTTATTATTGATTTTTCGTTTGGTTGTGTAGTTTTTAGGGATAGACACAACATAAATTACCCTAATTACTTAATGTGTAAAATGAAAAACTTATCCACAGATATATTTACACCATTACTTTGTCATTAGTTGTTCTTAAATTATTTTCTTTAAATCGATTCCCTCTTCGTTACAAATTATTTCGATAAGACATTTAAATCGATTTTTTTTTTCATGTGATTTACATCACTACATTCCTAGAAACTTCAAATTCCAAATGTCACTGGAATCATCCCTATTGAAATGGACTATAGTACATAAAATTGTAGTATGTAAAATTCTCACAGGACATTGGCGAAATCGCCATTTTTTTTGTATAATTTTTATAATAATATTAAACTACCGTACATAGTTATTTTTACTTGACATTGGCAAAAATCATTGATTATTTCGATGGAGCCATAACATTTAAAAGAAGAAGATAGTACATAAATCGAACTTGAATCGACTCTAAACGACAAGTCATACGTACTCTGTTAAAATTTTAACAGTTCTTTCAATAGACTTTCGACTACTAAATGTAAAATTTCACAATCCAAGATGTCGTTCATTAGTCGTTACGTTTTGATTCTACTAATATCAACGTTCGTTCAAGTGATACGTGAATACCCATTTAGGATAGGTCTTCGATCGAATGACTACGTAACTTCATCGATATTTTGATAGCTTGAACTTACGTGAATCGCACTACTAGTCTCAAGCTAAGGAATTTGACTATCAGAGCAACGAAAGTCCAGATCATTAACCGGAATACCCAGACCAGACTCAATGATAAAAGTTAATTTCCCAAATTGCTCCAACCGGGAACCGGACCCTCGCCCAGCGTCCGAAGTATAAACCGTTGCACCACTGAGGTTGTCGAAAGTATATTCCTTATATTACTACAAAATGTACACAAAATAATATTACCCCTGATCGAACAACATGATTGCTTTGATAATGCCGTCTCTGGGGCGTATGTACCCGAAGAATGTGTCCTTCACAAACAGCCACCGTTCTTGCCATTTCGCGCAGACCAGTCCCGTGCAGAAGTAGTTACATCTGAAATATTGAACCTTTTTTATATGCTCCATAAACCGCACCTAAGATACACGTTTGTTAGGTAAAGTGTGGGGGTTAAAAAGTCCTATAGTAACTACAATGACGCTTTTAATGTTTTCTACGACACATTCCAATTTTTTGTAACTCATGGTTACCTGTTTGTATGTAAGAAATAAAAAATATTATTATATTATAAAAATTCCTTCGATCCGGCTGGATTCGAACCATCGTCTTCCAGCAAACAGTGGCAGATGCCATATATCAACAAAGCCACGGAACTAACCAGTGGACCTTACGAATTTTTCTATGTGCTTGTTGCAGATCTTTGTTTTTTGTTTTTAACAACTTTTTTGCCGTAACGCCATCTGTGAGAAATCTATGATAGCTTTTCTTCACTTAGCCAGGTATCTTGGCAGCTACGAGCAGCTGACTAAAGATGTCGCTTATTAGCTCTTAAATGTTATCCTGTAAGAAGCATTGCGCCCGCTATGGAAAAATGAAGAAATGCATGATGTCTCTGTTTTTGCGTTTATACGTTGTTAAATAATTTTGCAAGTCTGTTTCATCGTCGTAGGTGCAAAATGTGCTACCAGCAGAAAAAAGCGCTACTTTTGCAACTGCAATTTAATTTAAATTCAATTCAGCTTTTTTCTTTCAGTGACATTACAACGCAAACAGGTATAAAAAGGTACATGCTCTAAGTACCAGCAGCCGTGGAGTGGCATAGAAATTTTACAACTTTCGTTAAAACTCAATGATTTCCGTTCATGTCGAGATATAGATATTGTATAGTAGATAGCCAGAAAAATCTAGTTTAAGTGCTCACCTAACACAGACCATAGAGCTTAGCAGTCCAAAACAGTTACACCCGGCCTGGCCAGGCTGCGTGGACCCAGTCCGTTTCATAATCATGCCCTCCTTGCCCTTCGAGCCTAGCTCCGCTATGAACGATAGATGTGACACTTCTAAGAACTTTACCTGCAATATCAGACAATAATTATTAAATAACTTCTCAAGTAAGGAAATACTTCAGACTTTTAGTAAGTGTGGGAACGCGCCCTAAAATGAGGTTGATGTCTCGCTCGTTCACTCCCTCTCGCTCTCTCTCTGTCATCGGACTCGATCGCGTCTTGTACGTATCGCGTAAAATCCTAATTTAAATAGTGAAACAGTGTTTTCTTATTCAAATCTCAGTGGCGACGAGAATAGTGGACAATAAGTGAAATTATACAAAAATTGTGACAGGAGAGCATTAAAACATATTAAAAAGCGTAATTTTTGAAGAGCAAAAGCCATTCTTGAGTGAACTTCTTAACACGCCTTACGCTTTGCAAATACATTCTATAGAGCCGCCATTTGTAACAGTATCACAACGAAGTTAGTTACACGTTACGATCCTTGCAAAGACATTCTTAAATCCACCATTTGTAATTGTTTCACTTATCATCCATCATTGACAATTTTTGTATCACGTTTTTAAGTCTTTATTATATACACAGAAACCTTCTAAATTAAGGTTTTTGACTTCAGATCAGCAAGTGTACAGGGTTGCCACTGAATTCATCAGGTTCTCAAGAGGCTCGTGCCGCCCCGGGTGCACGTACAGTACCCTCCCTAATTAGTTGTGCTAACGGTTGCCATCACCGTGACGACTCATTCAGTAAAAATTAAAAAAAAATATTTTGCAACTCGTGTCCTACTAAATCGTAGAGAATAGATGCGCTTGTGTTCAATATTTTTCCACGCTAAGTAAATTTCCTACCCTCCCTCGTCATAAAATGAAAAACACAAGAGCAACTACAATCGCCAACACCACCACCAAAAATATGCTTGACCCGTGTTCCGCCTCTCTATGAGACATCTTCAGGAGCTGTCGATTGCTCGTCGCTTGGCCTTTTCACCGACAATCGTATAAAAAGTCGGTATGCCGTTCCACGATTTTTTAGATCGTCTTCCTGCAGAGAGTACTGCTTACTAACATGGGTTTCAAATTGTCCCATTTTTTCCGACTAAATACCAGCAATAGAATGTCGATGAGCTCCGTAAACCCAAAAAAGGCTCGATAAAATCATTACATCATAATATTACACAATAATACATAGTACGGCGCGTATCGTTCGCCGGCTCTTGACCCCGCTCGTCTATATCATTTTACCGGCGAATATCACTCTTCTATTTAATAATCTCAGAACAGAGTACTAAAAAAACCGACCTTAAAACTACGTGGAATTACGTCTATTTGCTGTTTTATTGAAATATTCCCTAGTTCGCCACTATACAGGACTTGACACTGGAGATAATAAAAATTGGTTCTCACTACTCAAAGTATATTGAGCGAAAAACGCCTTGAATTGGAGAAATAGCAAAATCAACCATTAAAGTAATTGCTCCTAAATTAATGTTAGGCGCTATTTATGAAAATGAATATTCATACGCGAACAGCCACCCTTCGAGGTAGATGATTTTCTTCAAAATGAAATGGGATCACTATGGAAGTACCCCCTTTCCAACAAAAAAAGAATCATAAAAATCGGTTCACAAATACCGGAGTTATCGCGTAACATACATACAAAAAAAAAAGCAAAAAAGAACATACAATCGAATTGAGAACCTCCTCGTTTTTTGAAGTCGGTTAAAAATTCAAAACCAACACCAAATATATCAAAATTAATAATATATAACAGCATAGATCCTTACCGTTTCATGATGATTACGGTAAATGGAGATGTTAAACAAATTGAACAAATATTCTTCGAGTTGTTTCATTCGCAGCTGGATACCTTCGTACGAGACCATCACTTCTGGCTTGCTTGGAAACCTGTAAATATTACGAAAAATATGTTGTAGTTATATACCTTAAAACAAAGTTCGATATATAATGGCTTCAAATTATTTTTTCACGAGTATCTAACTCTGTGAAAAAATAATTCTGACTTTCCAACTCATCGTTACCGTTTTTAAACAGTTGCTACAATTTGTCCAAAAAATAACAAGTAATACACTTCCTACACGCCGTCTGACTTTCTCCTTACGATGCGACGTTAACAGTTTGGACAGTGAGGGATTCTATGGTCTCTGATATATACTTTCTCGTATAGATAACCTAATAAATGAATATTTTCCAATTAACAGATTCAGACATTACTTTGCCGAAATCCATATTAATAATTACTTTTTTATTAAAAAAAAACCTTCCTCAATAATTTTGTTATCGGCTTTTAATTGGAATTACACCTATTTTTATTCAAATAATGCCTAAAGCGCCTAACGCTGTTAACAGGTTGGTCAGAATAGCTTTGTATGTTGTTTGTCTAGCTCACTCGACTACAAATGTGACGGTATATAATATCTAAATAATGAAAAAATAAAAATATGCAGTGGCCCACAGCTAGAATTCATATAGCGATAAAATTTGCTGTTTCAGACAGTTCATTATTTGGTTGTGCAATTTGGTATATACCTAGGTCAAAAACTTGGTGTTTACCCAGCTTTTTTTGAGATAGTTAGAAATTCAACCTACCTAGGTAAAGCACCCTTTCTTTTCCTCGGTCTCACTCCTCTTTTTGACTCCGATCTAGGTAAAGCATCCAACGCCACCCTCTCAGCTCTAGCTTCGGTGTCAACGGTGTTCTTGAAACTCGCTCTCCGGGACTTATGCGTTTTGGTTGGGAAGGGAATGTTAAGTGATGTCCGGTAAATGCTGAGTTGTTGATGTAAGTAGAGGATGTGTTTGTAACGTTTCTTGATTGTCCATGTGAAATCGCCATGTTGCAGACGTATCGTGTATCTGAAAATTGAGAACCACAATCATTTGTTAAAAATAATTGTAACTTTGTTTTTGGTATTTTTCCGGATTTAAATCGCGTATATTTGTTTTTTCAAACAAACCGACGTTTCGGGCCCTTTACAGGTCCCATGGTCACGGTTGGCTGTGACCATGACCATGTACCGTGACCGTGACCATGGGACCTGTAAAGGGCCCGAAACGTCGGTTTGTTTGAAAAAACAAATATACGCGATTTAAATCCGGAAAAATAGTTTCATTTCCTATGTGTAACAATCGCGAAAACCTAAGAACTCGATTTGTTTTTGGTTTTTAACAACTTTTGTGCCGTAGCACTAGATACGTACCCCAATTGCTTCCGAGGTCCCCACCAATACAGGATTATTTGTAAAATACTAAAAACCTTGCAAGACTATATTGCTAACATCATAAACAACTTTTGACTATGAACTTTATTGAATTGGTTTTAGTCTGGGTGTGGGAATGAATTCTGTTTCTCTGGTACTCATAGTACAGGGAATCTTCGAGTTTGAGCTCACGTCATTAGTTGTTACATATCATCATTGTTACGTATCATTAGTTAATACAATAGGAGTTTTCGATGACTCACTTTCTCAAACTCGTATCTTATAAAGTGTGATAATTCAGGAGACAGCAAATTTCTATTTACTTTAAATTTATTATCAAGGGTGTAAATTTGGATGCATTACTTTAAGAATAGGTAAAAGCTAGTGTGAAAATATGAAGGAAATATGATGTGACATCATCCTGCAAAATTCGTATATATAATCTATTTTTTGCATTTCAGTAACTTTATGCTTTAAGATACGAGTTATTACATATTACATATATATACATATACCTATTAAATATCCCTTGGGCTATATAGTACGTAAGTATGTACATAATTAAAGCATGTTTTATGTAAATTTGTTTTTAATTTAATTAAATGTGATCTATTATTTTATGTTATCGTAGTATGAGTGTAGTAATTAGATTCAAAGCAAAACTTACAAATTAGGATTGAGCAGATGAGTAGTGACGCTCCTTTCGTTTTCGATGAATCTGACTTTTATTTCTACGCCCGGAATGAATACTTTTCTGTGCACTGAGTTAAACTTTACAGGTGGGTCGTGGATTGTTCTGAAGCGAACTGATGTTTCTGGAACTGAAAAAAGAAATACAATAGGCGTTAAACAAGCAGCATAACAGTCCACCTGTCATATAAAAAAAAATTGATGAATACGGGAATTTCAATTTTATATTTAATCAATTTCAATTTCAAAGAACCGATGAACAATAAGTGCCGTATCGAGCAGGACCGGGCCGAGAAAAATATTTGTATGGCCTACATTTATTTCTCTCGCGAGTTTGGGTGTAATTTGTGGTTGGTGGTCTATGTGTGTGTCCATGGCATGAGTGTGTGCGTTATTAAATGAAATTTTCTATTTTCAAATGGGAGAGGCGGTATTCCCCGGGAATGACACAGTCGGCCGGGGTCACGCACTCATGTTCAAGAAACGGCGAAAAATGTATCGATCAGGACTGCTTTATGTATTTGTGATAGAAGCGACACGCCACATTATATTAATATTATAATCTGATATTTTTATCATAACTGAATAAGCAAGATCATACTCAGCGCTCAAAAGCGAACATTTTCCACTAATCATCGTATGTCAATATCTTTTATAAATATGACTCATTGATACAATGTGTATGATACGAACTACAGCTGAAAATATGAAGTGATAACAGAAAATATGTCGGTTTAAAAAATATGTCATAAGCATGTTATGATACCAAGTGGTGGGACGAACAAGTTGTGCACCTGGTGATAAGCGACACGCCAGTTCATAACAGTCGCAGTGCCGCTCAGAGCTTTAAGTCGCAAAGATCTGAGGGGCACTGCCACTGCACGCGTCGCCCTGAGACATAAGTTGACAAGTCTCATGTGCCTGACATTCCACTTATTTAGGGGTTTTGAACATTAATGCATATGTTAGCTCCATTGGAAAAAATACATCAAAGAAACACTTAGCAGAATCCAAACACATAAATCTAAATACTGCCTAAACAAATACATTATTTTATTTTTAAAAGTAATACGGCAGTCAGACTTTCAAAAGTTTCCTGCCTCATCTGGGTTTCAAACCAATCAAATATGAAGAAAAAACATCCTATATTTTATGATACCGATCGAAAGTGTCAATTATAAGGATTAATTCTATTTAAGTAACTTACGTATCTTAAATTAAAGGAACTCACGAGGAAAGGAGTTAAATTGGTTAATCTGGTATTCCAACCGCAGGCGTTTCCTAGTTGTCGACTAGGTAATTGGTGCAATTGTGTGGCAGATTATTATTTAACCAAGGACCACTTAGACGGTAAAAGGCCTTGTTGTCACTGTTCGGGATGCGTACAAGTCTGAATAAAAGAACTCATGATTAAGAAAGAAGTGAAAGAACTCCTTGTGAGAGTTCGCCCAGGGTAGTACTACTACCTATGAGCATTATTGTGAGCATTACTGCGTTCCGGTTGAAGGGTAAATGTACTGGTGAAGTTACAGCTACATGGGACTTGTCAACTTAAGTCTCAGGGTGACAGGCGCAGTGGCAGTGCTCCTCAGATCTTTGCAATTTAAAGCTGTGAGTGGCAGTTACCATCACCTTTCACTTACATTAATGGCGCATCTGAATTCTATTTTCTAGGCAACAACATTTAAATTCCTCTGAATAATACAACCGCGCTTCGAATAATACAAACTCGCCCGCGCTCCCGAGACGCTCATTTAAGTTAAAACGTAAAAGCTAAACGAATAGAGCGTCTTTTGCCATGCAAGTTAGACGCGCGCTGTCGCTGCGCGGCGTGAGCGCGATGAAATTCCCGTCGAATACATGCGCCCTAACTGTTATGGACGGGCGTGTAGCGTACCACTAGGCGCACGACCTGTTCGTCCCGTCATTTGTACTAAAAAGAAAACTGCTCCTTCCACTCCACACGGTAAGAATCCAGTTCTCATGCGTATTCTTCGAACGTATAACAACCAGTTAACAAATATTAAGAGGGAGCATGCCAAAAAAATTTTGTCTTGGCTCCTATCGCGTGACATGCGACAGGAGATGTTGAATTTTGCTCATTAAAAGTACCAAATTGGTTTTAGCGGAATAACTCTAAAACTAAAGGGATTTTAAAAAATCCGTAGTGACAGTTCTCGATCACGCATAAATATAATTAATTATCTAAGTTTTGTCCTAATAACCTGTAGCATTTCGAGGATGAATCGAAAAAATGTGAAAATTAGAGGTCATTTCGTGATTTTTATCTATCGAGGAAACATTATTGTTTTATGTTTCTGATTAGTGTCTATGCTTGAATATATCGTGTAGTTACTCATACAATATTTTATATTTAACTTTAAAGTAGATATACCCCGCTAAAATCAAATCGAAGATTAGGAATTTTTCCTCTGCTCCCTCTTAATCCGTTTGCAAGATCTAAACATTGCTTCAAAACAAACATCAGTCAGTTGCATAGAATATATTCAAAGCCCGCAGTTTCACAAAATGGTAGTATGTAGGCTTGTTACAACATTATACACAGGGTTATTTGTAAAATACTAACAACCTCGCAGGACTATAATACCATTATTATAAACAACAACTTTTGTTCCACGACTTTTAATAATTCATTAGATTTTACTTTCGTACTAAAATAAACATATTTTAATAGATTCCTAACTCTTAACGGCGGTATCAAAATAACGCACCCACCACCAAAAGTATTTTTATGAATGACAGCATGCGGGAGCCGTTGCTAAAATACACAATGTGGTATAGAAAAACAAGAACTTAAAAGATTGACTTAAATGATTTGTAAAAACTCATGGAACAAAAGTTGTTGTTTATGATGTTAGTATTTTACTAATAACCCTGTACAAAATTTAATACATAATAGTGATGTGCAATATGTGTAATGTATTATATTATGTAGGTATACATACATGTATAATTATCAATTATTAATATGTACGTGCGCATTAATTTAATTATATACATACGTATATGTAATTATTCATGTAACAATTTATTTAATTTTAATGTTCTTTATTTTTTGTTTTTTTTCCTCGTAGCATTTTTATTTTATGATTTATTATATGATTATTTAATTTCGTTTATTTTTTCTGTTTGTTTTTATACTAATTCTTTTTAATTAACAAATGCATCCACTGTCAATCATTCTTTTAGTGGGTAACAGTAATTCATCTATTAAAAAAAGTTATAAGTTAAGGTTAAAATTGTATTAGGCTGTTGTTGCGAGTGGCGAATCGTGGTGTCTGTCTAGCCCTCTTGAAGGCAGGTGTGACTCATATTTGCCGTATATCAAGAAGACGTATAATCCTATTTAACTTTCAAAGCATGATAGACATTGTATACTTATTATAAACAAATGATGTACAATAACATTGATATGAAATCAATAAACGATAATGTCATAAGTGGTAAAACGATAAGAGTTAATACCCCACAACACTAACCTTATGGTTATCACATAACACGTAAGACTATGGATAACAATGCCCTTCTTTTTAGTAATAAAGATCATTTTATACTTTTGTTAATTTATGGGGTTGTCATTGTGAATAATAAAATAAGAGATTAGCGGATAATATACTACAAATTTCGATTATACATAATTCGATATAGATAGATTTAAAATTGGATATGACGTAGTACTTACTGAAGTTTTAACTATTACATGATTACATGCCTGTCTGTCTGTTCGGTGCGTCAATAATACCCACACGTCGCACTATAGTAAAATATGAGTAAAACCTGGCCAATAATATATTATAAAAAACTTTTAATTTCAAATTTAGACCAGATGCCATTAGTTAGCTGAATTGATAAATAATGATGTTCTGCATTGAAACTGCATTTCAAAAACCAGTGCCATATTAATTTTTTTTTATAACATACAGTAACAGGACGAACTAGTCGTGCGTCTGATGGTAAGCTACACGCCTGTCCATAACAGTTGCAGTGCCCCTAAGAGCTTTAAATTACAAAGATCTGAGGGGCACTACCACTGCGCCCGTCACCCTGAGACATAAGTTGACAAGTCCCATGTGCCTTAATTTTATTACAGCGTATAGTACAATTATCTTAGTTCAATTTTCTCGGGAAAAAATTCCATTTTTCGCGGGAAAAAAATTATAAGTTTTTCCATTTGTGTTGCTTTTTATTTTTACTAATTCCACAAAAATTACGTCTCAACTACAGGGCCCCAAGTCTGCTAGTTGTAAATCGTCTCAGTTGTGTTTCGATGGCAGGATTTTATACGTTAGGTATTCTGCTGAAAGTTAATGAGTAGCGGCTTGCCAGCTGGCCATCGAGCTACTATTCAACTGCTGTTGCAATTTTTCAGTATTCTGTTCTCCAATGGCGAGTCGATGGCGTAGTGTATTAAAATTACACATATTCAATTTGAAGACTAAAATGCTAAGAGAAAAAAAATTAATTATGCATAGTAATTTCCATGGTAGTTTTAGTAAGGCAACATCGTTATTAAACGAATGAATAAATATGCCATCACTACCATTCCACTGAGACTCGACTGCAATTGCAAGAAAATTTTAACGAAATAGCAAATATTATCATAATTGCAATATAATCTCAAAGGAATTACAATGACTAGTGGTTTCAAAAATCAGTAGAATTGGGCCCCAGGTATGTAACAATAAATATAAAATTGTAATAGATTAACTGCCACAACATGACACATATTCAAGAAGCCTTAATTAATTAAAACTTACAAATTTTATATCCGGATCAAAATGATTCATTTGCTGAAGGAGCATTTAATAGACTTAATATTAACGTTTACAACAAGTGCTATTGTTTGCGGCAACATATTAGAAAATAATCACGTTCGTTTCAATTGTACGTAATTTTTTTATTCAAATGTAAGTGTGTATTTGACATCCATCTCACCTGATGGAAAGTGACGATGACGATGACGTCGACGATGGAGCATGCACACCTGAATAATGCCTATTCACTCTCGCCTTCAAAAGATCCAACTTATAACGTTCAGGGAAGTCTGCAGGCAGGAATTCGACTCCATGGCCGTTCGCCATAATAAATGTGGAAGCGTAACGCTTCGTGCGAATCTTTGGAATATCCACAACATAGGGGTGGAATCCATTTATATAAAGGAGTAGGATCCCGAGCAATTTGCGGACAGTAACAGTATAATTATTTACAAGATTTTCCATTTTTTATGGTTTAATTTTTTCAGTTACCATGTGAACATCGAAGATGCGAATGATGTGTGTCAGGGGTGCTATGGTCCTCAAAGGATTATGTTTTTTCTACGCATTTGCCAAAAAAGCGTGAAATTATGTATTGTAAAATAAATATATTATTATTATTATTATTAATTATGACTTCTGCTTATTCTTACAACGTAATAATGAAACAAGTCACTAAACTTAAAATAAGTCACCGAAAACGCAGTTACTTTACAAGTGTAATTTTGGCAATGTTTTTTCTTACTTTTCCCATAGTGCGTCGTTCGGAGCATAGGGTTGTCAAATGATTATTTCAGTTGGTGAATTTGAAAAAAATAACCTTAATTTTTGAATACCTATTAATCACAGTATTCTCATGGTACATTGAAATACCTTTTGTCAAATGCAGTACTTACATATTGATATATTTAAATTCGATTATTCCCATAATCTAATATATGTACGATTATGTAATACAAATGAAATTATTAACAATTCTGAATTTGAGGCACTCTTGTTCAAACAACCATAAACACAATAATAAACACGTCTACTATTTATTTTTTTTACGCCGAGCGTTTGATTTAAATTGTGAAGTCGCGTGTGAGGACCCGCGCTGTGCAATTCGGGTGCACTGCAAAATTTTGAGATTGTGTGCCTCTATAAACGGCGCGTGGCGAGCATTTACGATACAACCCGCGCTGCTACGTTACCATGGAGTTGTGCTACTGATTTTATTTTACTATGGCTGTACTTATAATCATTAGCAGCAGTAGAGCTTCTCGTGAAAGAGTTCCTCCAGAGAAGTAAGCCACCTTCCTCTACGAACTCTTTCACAAGGCTCTACTGCTACTATTGATTGTATCGATTGTAAAATGGATATTTACTATGTCGAACATGAGAAATAACGTATCGCATACGAATGATATGCATATTACGCAATTTTTGAGATAAAATATCATTTTATAGTTTTTTTATCAATTCATAGATTTTTTTTACTTATGTAGGTGTGATTTCTTTTATCTGTACTGTTCATGCATACTGTTCAAGATGCAGTACATAAACTAAATAATAATATTCTTTATTTATATTGTACCTAACTTAATTATCGCACATACCTGGAAATGAACATGTAATTTATGTACATGATACATAGATTTAACTTTGGACAGACACACTATAATAATGTATATAAAAAGAAATTTAGGATCACATGATAGTTTTTTTAATGGTATAAATAAAATCCAAGGTCATATAGATTATTCGTATGAACAGTTGACATTTACGACCAATTTAGATAAAGCGACTTTTACACCGAGTATAGCAAAAACAACACTATTACAGTGCCGTAAAGTTACATTTCCAATTAAATATTTTGGCATTGAGCCTGCCAAAGGTTGATGTGGGTTGGTATCTTGCTAAGTTGCAGAAACTAGACAGTGAAGTGTGTCAGCCATGTATGGATATAAAAGTATTATGCACAGACCATGTGTTAAATGTTATGTTGTGTTTGTTGCATTAATAATATATAGCTATTTTCTACTTAAATCTATAAATATGTAACTCCCTTGAAAATCAAGGAAACTGCAGGTTTTTTGCAACAAAATATAGTCAAAAATTTACTAATTGCACCATTTTGCTCCTGTTCTTACAAACTACCTATATGCATAGTAAGAATAATACGATACACACCTACTAAGGAATCATTTTCTTTATTGTCAACCTTATCTGCATCAATCACTGATAAGGACTCCGGGACAGCCAAACTCTCATCAAACTCCGTGTCCATGCCTGGATTGAGCGAGTCCATTCTTTGGAATAATCCGGGCAAGCAGTCCCCTGGTGCCCCTGATGGAGTTGGCGTCTCCATGCCGTAATTTGTGTACCCGTAGAGTTCCTCATCTGTAAAATGGTATTCTTATTAAATTGATTTCTGAAGTTTTAGTATAGCATTAATTATAGCCGGTTTGGAAGAACGTACTGCACTTGGATCAGCTGGGAAAAGGTCCCAGGTGGCCCAAGACATTGCTTGTCATGTAAAAAAAATTATATTTGTGATAAAGTTACAAAATATCAAAGATTATGATGGCTGTAATTAACTGATGACAAATGTGACATACAAATAAACCTGACCCATCAACTGCTATCTTGAATTATAATCCATAATCACAAATATTAATTGCACTAATGAGAAGTTGATTTATTTTAAATAATTGTCCACTTTTGTAAGAAATCTTTTATAATAGTTTAATAATAATTTACATAAAGATACAGAGTGCAGGTTACCTTTATTGTTTGAGCAATAATCTTCTTTCAGTAAAAAATTTTGATCCATATTTTAAAAAAACACCAAAAGCAGAAGCAGGCTAATAATTACACAGTAATAAATGCGGTCATTGAAATGAAATGAAATCAATCACAAACAACTGTTTAGAACCTACTGAAATTAATCCATACAGGAAAATCATAATGACAAACATGATAGGTAAGCATTATATGAATACAGGAAAATTTAAATATAACGCTTACCGAGTTATAATTTACAAACAATGCATAGATACATTGACCTACCAAAAGGTCAATTCATAGACAGCTAAAACATTTCACAGTAACAACTGTAAAAATAAAGAAAACAAAATACTGTACTCTACTGTACTGTAATAATGTACTGTACGAAGAAACAAAAGGAAACAGATATTTAGAGCAAAATGCTAGTAAGGTGTCAAAGTCATTACAGGTAAGTATTAGTATTTGCTAATCACCACATTAATGTGTCATAGAATTTTTGTAGGTCTTTACCAAACCATTAAGTTGAGGATTTTTTCCTTGAACACCACTTTTTATTATACGTACCCATTGATTCTCATTAATTTTGTTTTCTACATAAATAATCATGTATATTACAAAAAAGTTCTGAAGCCTATAGACCATACTTAACTAAATGTAAACAATGATGAGATGTCTTTTTAATGAAATATATATTAATAAAATGATTTATACTTACCTTCAAATACAAAATACAAATGCTTAGCTTCATATGAAATTGCATGCTCATTTTTGTACCTATTGATTTGTAAAGCATGTTTCAATAAAAAGATGTATCAAGATTGTTTACCTTTAGTTAAGTACCTAAACAAATGGACTATAGTTCGAAAATTGAAAATGAGTTTTTGTTACATATATTTGTATTATGCCTTTTTCTTATAACACTAGGTATGTAGGATGTTACATAATAAACATGAATGTTTCTATACCATACATTTCACTGTCAACAATAACATAAACACAACTAGCAAAAGTACACTAAACTGCACATGATTCGAAGACACTGACGCAAGTCTTTCAGTGTAGACTTGAACTGAAGACCTTATTATAAGAGGCAAGAGAGGCTCTGGATAAGAATGGCCTTTGAAAGCAGACTACAGCTCTCAAGGGGTACTGCACTGCGCAAACAATAAGCACATGTCCAACCTCATGCTAAGTGACAGTAGAATTTCGATGATGAAGCGGACAAGATGCCCCTGTATCGTTTTAGCTAATGTACCCATGCACACGCTTATTAAACACATACTCAGTCACAGACAGTAGTAGCAGTAAGAGTTCCTTTCGAAAGCGTTCGTCTAGGAAAGTACTGCCACCATATTTATTTCTGCCACCAAGCAGTAACGCTCACATTACTTGTTTCGGTTTAGAAGGGTAAGGTTGCAAGTGAAATTACAGTCACATGGACTTTTCAAGTTATGTCTCCTGGCGACAGGTACAGTGGCAGTGCTTCTCAGATCACTGCGATTTAAAGCTCTGAGTGGCACTGCAATTGTTATGGACTGGTGTGACGCGTTCGTCCCATCACTAGGTCTCATAAAAAACACACACCCAAAAACACCGATTCACCTCACTTACAACACAACATGAGTTAATTTTAAGAGGTACTCTCATTATTAAGCATATCAGTACTATTTGCATTTAACAATATTACCTTTCTATGTTTTAATTTTCTCTAGTAATACAATCACTATCATCATATCAGCCGGAAGACGTCCACTGCTGAACATAGGCCTCCTCCAAAGACTTCCAGACTAGCTGGACGGACATGAAGTGCATCCACCGGTTACCCACCCCCCTTACCAGGTTATCCATCCTTCTATTTTCCAATCACTATGCCGTAACTTTATTGCTCTTCTGCAGAGTGCAAGCCTGGTGATCATTAATACAAGCGTCTCTAAAACCTATCATCGGGTAGTGGTCTCACTCAAACATATCCAACTTTCTTATTAATTAAGTCAAATAATTTTTAAGATGATTATCATTAACAATATTTCGTAGATCACTTTGGAGAGCAACTGTCACAGATTGCTTGAAGGCACTGGTTCAAATCCAACCAGAATGAAGGAATTTTTGTTAGTTTGTTCAATCTTTGTTTTAACTGCCTCCGTGGCCGAACGGTTACCATCTGCCACGCAGAGGTCCCAGGTTCAGTTCCCGGTCCAGGAGAAATATTTGTATGGTCTATATTTATTTCTTTTGTGAGTTTGGGCGTAGTTTGTGGTTGTCTGTCTGTATCCATGGCACCCGTGACACAAGGTTTCCCTGGTGCAGGGCTATGTTGAGTGTGTGCATTATTATTAATATCGCAAACACTAATATTTTATTACAAATTAATATTTTATTTCAATGTTGCTGTATGATTAGCACATATAAGCTCACACTGACGCAAACACGTTTGTCTCAAACAGAGAACGTAAAAGCAATCAAATACTGAAGCTCTATAATTTTGTTTATGTGCTCCGAATTATAATTAATGATCACAATAAAATTGATCATCAGTCATATTCATTAAGGCCTGTACAGGCCATGAAGAAGCCACCCTGGCAAAGAAGCAGCTGTTAATCCAATTAGGTCATGGTATGGAATGTAATTGCTGTGTACCACACTATATAGTCATCATAAAAAGTAAATACAACCAACTCATTTCTACTCGTATTATTATACATTTAATCTTTTGATATGGAACACCTATATTTATGAGTATGTTAACACACCAAACAAAAGACTGCCAGATACGGTCATTCCATTGTAACAATTGCATCCAATTGTCCTTACCTTAGTAATTTTAAATCATAAATTCCACAACACAAACAATCATCAACAAGATTTTTCCAAGAATGTATTGAAAACAAACACAAAAAACGGATAAAAGCTTCAAACAGTTTGAGCAACAAAAAAAATTTGATAATATCCACAAGAAAATGGTGTCCAAACAAAATCATAATATTGAAAATACAACTGGTATCACTTGTCACAGGTGCTAAATCACAACTAAGCACCTTATTAAATAAATTTTTAAATACATAATAGCATAAACAAACACACCTCGCTTTATCAAGTTATGGAAACTCAAAGTTAACTCGGACCTTTCCATGCGTGTTTCACTGTGTTCACTGAACTCTTTTATCATACAGCCCGTTTGGGTGTCGAAATACTACGTTGGGCATTACACAGTACAAATCCTAACACTTGTGCATATAATCTTCTTTGATAAGATAATAAACGTATGTACAGCCAGTCGTTTCGCAAAACTTTAACGAAAAGGGCGTCTGACTTTTATTTTTAATTTTTTAAATTTAGAACAAGTTAACTTTGGACATGGTAGAACACTTTTTCAGCTAGTAAAGTAACAAAAGGCGAGATTCACTGAAGGCTACGGAGACTCCATGGTTCAATGAACAAGGTTTTATCTCAAGGTTTTTTTCTGACTACACTAAATTGGTGAAATCAACAGTACTTACTAAACTTTCAGATGAGTTGAACAGTACACATCTTTACTGCGGCCCGTTACAATTTAGAATAAAATTCTAAACAAAGCTGTGATGTGTTAATAGACTGGGAAAACCTTAGTTGATTCATTCAGTATGTACCTAATGGATTAGTTCAAAGTTGCAAGGTATGTTTCGGTATAAAAAATACTTGTTCTACGGCTCACTACGTCATCGCCATGATGAAAAGGCCAGTGGTAGACAACATTTAGTTAGAAGCGTTACTAATTCATAGTGAGGCAATGAGTTTTTATTTTATTTTTTCACCAATTGGTCAAATGAAATGTCAAAAGTTATTATAATTTGAATTGATTTGGATTCGACTACATTCCATAGAACGAAAACGAGAAATCCAATGTATGAATAAATTAAACGCTACATTACTTTTAACATTCTCAACTTATAATTTATCAATTAGGTATCTATAAAATATATTAGGTTTTGAACGGTGGAAATTATTAAATTAATGAATTTGATACCTACCTTTTTGATTTGATAGTATTATGATTGCCAACTATCCTTAAAATAAATTTTCAATTTAAATTTTTGTTTTGAATAGAAATAGTTATACCCCATTGACCTACCAAACGAATAGGTCAATCTTATACCCTACCCTTTAAAATGAAATTTAAAAAAATAATATAGTTATGTTAGATAGGTTCAATATTTCTTAAAAACGTAATTCAAGTATGTGTACTACATATATATACAAACTTCACAATATTTTAAATATTGAATGTCAGTACAAGGTACCTACTTTAATGGTTACGATGACCGGTTTACTTAGAAAAATCGTTACTACTCATATTAAGCTATAACAGTTTCTTCTTAAACCAGTAGGTGCTGTCTTGTCAGCTTAATGAGAACAGAAACAAGCAATTAATTTAAAAATATCTCGTAATTTGTATAAAAAATAATCAATAAAGCCGCCGACTGTCTAACACCGAATTTAAAAAGATGGATGATCAAGTACCTGCTAGTGGTCTGTCTCATCTGCAGTACGGAGAGAAACAAAGCATTCTGTAACAATTCAGAGAGATTTTGTTTAAATTATTTTTACTCAATCAAGGAATCCCAAGAACGGTCTGTCGACGTTCTATTGTAATCTATTTTTAAGTTTCTGGCTTCTCTTGAAGAATTCTGCAAATATCTAGTCAGACATAGGAGTTACAATTTTTTATTTATGTTTAAGTACTTAATTAAGTCTATTCCGGCTTCTAGAACGATACAAAACATCACGATATACCTACCAACACCGTTAGAGATATTTAATTAGATAGGTTTATAATTTAAGTTTGTTAATACAAGTAAAATGAGTTATTAATTTTAAGAGAGGATTTGTAAAGACTAACAACAAAAACTTGAAATTTACGAGACAAGGAATAGAAGATGGAAGACTATCAGTCAGTCGTAGTCGACGTTATACAAAAAGGTTTAGTATCAATGCCGATTCGAGGAATGTCAAAGGTGATAGTTGTATGTTCGTTTAGCAATTTTTGTTCAGAAATTTATAAAATCATTAGGACACCTAAAAAAAAACTTGTGAGGTATTTCTCATATCAAAATAAGAGTATCGTATAACTCAAATACTAACAACAAGTTAGAATATTAATTATGTTATACGTTTTAATTACATACCTCCTAAAGCAAAACGAAAAGTTTACCAAAGCCTACACGTTTACTCAGAGCAATAAAAGTTAAAGTAATGATAAAATGTAAATGCGTTATAGTTGTTAGGCGCCCATACAACAAACTACAATGATACCGTGATATTGATGGAAAAATAGTCTTAGAGATTTATTAATTTGAATCCTATATGAATTTAAAAGACTGTCCTAAATAAAAAATAAAGAAAACGTCATTGATTGGTAGTATGACGAGCTGAAGGCGGAGGCTTAGGACAATGTAAAGCGAAGGAAGTCTTGAAATCTTTTCCAGCGCGCCAATGACGGATTGAAAAGCCAAGGACAGTCCAAGGACGGTTGAATTCGTTTCGTTAATTTATTATTACGAGCACCTACTCAACTATCAGAAATCTGTTCAAAATAATGAAACGAAGATCCAGTTCCAATTTCTATAAAATGGCTTCATCTATTTTCACCTTAATTTTGCCAATGTCAGGGTTGAAAACGACACGTAAAAGTGTCGTTACGGTTACAGTTGGCTATCCGGAGATCCATTGAGTACGATGAGAGTCTAAAAAGTGACAACACAAAAACAATTACACATTCATATCACACGCATATGGAAGTATAAAAAAAAAAAAGAAAGTAGTGGGTTTATAAATATATTATAAGTTATCAGTAACTACAATTTTAACAGAAAATGGATTTTGCTAGACAAGATAATTATAATGTAATATTGTTGATAAGGGATAGGGTGTTCACAAAAGGTCTGTTAGATATTTGGGTCAGAACAAAAATAGGGACTGCGGGCCAAAGCACGTAAGTTAAAAACCAACATCATTAATTTAAATTAATACATCTACCGACTAAAGGATATAAATCAAATTAATTTGTTCTTCCAACATTATAAACAACACAAAAAATACTTAGGTATAAAGCACTAGCCTCTTGAGAACCGGATGAAGTCCGTGAAACGGGCTGGTCTGGGGTTGCCACGGCATGCGTTTATACATAGGAGCATTAAAAAAAAAAGTAATTGACTATTTACAAATTAAATGTTTAAGTTTAATTATAAAAGTACTTATTGGTTATTCTACGTAATTATGAAGGTATATACAGGATGCCCCTCCAATAGACACAACAATACCAATCGTTGAGAGCACTTACAACAATTAATTTGTTTTCGAGAATTAATCCAATACAATGCATCCACCAAAGAAACATCCCATGCACTCCCATACAAACAAGCGCATATAAGTAACTGCCCATTGTTAAAGTATTATTATTATTTGTTAACTTTTTAAATTTATTGACGATCAACTATTTGAAAATTATGTATATTAAAACTGTGTGTGACAAATTCACGTGAAACAAATTCTTTTATTCTTGAGCTAAATCGACCAAGCAAGTCGTCGAGAATACAATTTTCATTAATTTTTTTAAATACTGACACGTGCTCAACAGTACTTTATTTTATTAAACAAACTTTTGTTTTGCGGTTGAAAAAATCGTTTAAATTTTTAGGACTTACCAATAAAATAAACGTCTTAGTTACTTTATGAAAACCAACTTTAGTTTGACGACTGCAAATATTCGGCAAAACAAACCTGCTTAAGCTATTCATCGTTTTACACTTACGAGAAGTATTTTTTTTATAATACACGGTGATAAGCGACACGTCTGTCCATAACAGTTCAAGTGACACTCAGGGTTTTAAATCGTAAAGGAATAAGTGGCAATGCCGCTGCGCCTGTCACCTTGAGACATAACGATGCCTTATTTTCTCGTATCTTATAAAGAGTGATTAGGTATTTAGGAAATGGCAAAACTATCTATTTATATTAAATCTCTTATCAAGGGTGTTAATTTGGATGCGTTACTTTAAGGGTCGTATTCTAGAACTCTATTCAATGCTCAAGTCAGGATTGCACTGGCAACACAAGCACTGGAAATACGACCCTAATGGCAGGGACTTGAGTATGATTTCGAGTGCTTTAAACCATACTCAGATCCTGACTTGAGCATTGAGTAGAGTTCTAGAACACGACCCTAAGAATTGGTAAAATATGAAGGAAATATGATGCGAAATCAGCCCGCAAAATTTGTATATATAATCCATTTTTTGCATGTCAGTAACTTGTTTGAGAAATTAAGGCGACAATAGGTTCACATGATCCACGTGCCTGTAATTTCACCAGCACCCTTACCCTTCAAAACCTCATTGCAGTAATGCTCACATTATTGCTTGGCGATAGAAATAGTTAAAGTGGCAGTACTTGGACAAACTCTCTCACGATGAGCTCTACAGCTACAAGAATTAATAATATTAATTAAAAAATTCTACATAACCCCCAGCTTCCTCATTATCTGTGTTCCCGTTTTTCTCCCTTATCCCCCAGTTCCCGCCCAAAACGTACCTGTGACACTAGATCACTAATAAATCCCCAATCCAACTCGAAATTCTTCCACAACTCTTTCACGGTAAGTGCAACTCGTATGTGGAATAGATTTCCTGCTAGCATTCGTGACAGTCCATCGGTGGCATCTTTCAAACATAAATTAAAAGAGCACTACCTGTCGAACGCGTTAGATAGCTAATAGGTAACATATATTATAAAGTAGTAATTTGTTTAGATTATAATTTATATTCTGCTTATGTTTGTATTTATGTATATAAAGTTCATGTAGGTGTGTATGTCTGTCATATGTATATATTATCATATTTTATATGTATATATATATATATATATATATTATTTATATTTATATATATATTTTAATTAATTTACTTTTTTTACTCACTTTTAAATTTTAATTTTATTGTACAATAATTAGTCCCGCAGACTTCATTTTTCACCTAGGCTAGGGTTGGCTGGAAGAGATCTCTTCTAGAGATAAGCTCACCCTTGTATATGTCCTTTATAACTTGTGTTTCATGTATCTTTTCTTTGTGCAATAAAGAGTTATTATTAATATTCCAAAAGTTTTAGAATGAATATCTTTTGTTTTAAGTACCTACAGTAAATTCATATTACGGCTTTCAGGTGAGTAACAAATGATTGTATATAGAAATACTTCCTAATTTTAATTGAATCATATATTAGGTAATATCGGACGTGGCAAAACTGGGCTGGGTACGCTGTACAGGCGTATCTCATGGAGATACAATATGGTAATGAGCTGCAACGTTTCCACCTAATCCCATATTTTTAACACCTACGCCGCCCGTTGTTCTACGTGAGTTGCGTCACTTTGATCACCAGACTTGTTATTTTTGCCAGTACAACGCTTTGTATCTAACCGTACCTATTCATAATGTCGTTGATACGAAATCATGCAACTGCGTTTCCACATTTATTTGTATTTATTTCTTTATGGTAATCATTTACGACATCGATTTTAGAGTAATTTTTTTTGGACCTACGCACACACTCAACATAGCCCCGCAATATGGAAAACCATGTGTCGCGAGTGCCATGGACACACACATAGACAACCACAAATTACACCCGAACTTACGAGATAAATAAATGAAGGCCATACAAATATTTTGCCCGGCCCGGGAATCGAATCCAGGACCTCTGCGTGGCAGTCCGGAATGGTAACCGTTCGGCCACAGAGGCACATCTAATCCATTAAATATATGACAAATGTTAATAAATATATTATATAACCCAGATAAATTTATTTTTTAGCGTAAATGCTAGAGTAATTTTATTGAAACTCTTCAGAAAAGTAAACTGTCTCGAATTCAAAAGCACAAAAGAACTTCTTGCAAAATTGAATAGAAAAAAAAATTGTCAGGGTTTACTCTAAGCTTACAAGCACACTTCTCTTTCACAACACGGAAAGTAGAAATACATTACAATTTTGACAAATTGTTTTAAATGTACCATGCACTATGTGTATTTCCACTGTTTCAGTCACAATTTTACGTAAGCCGTGTATTACCTACTTAAGCTTTCGTTTGGAAATCCACTGAAGAATGTTACTAACTGAAGCATCCATTGTTTATTAGTGCACGCTTGAGTCTTCAGACATGTATGACAGCCGCCAGTTGTATGTGAGCCTTAAGATTTGATAGCTAGAGTCGTGTAGTTCATGAAAGAAAGGTGGTTGGTCCAGTTTAAAGAGGTCAGCACGCGGTAGTTGCTGAAATAGTATCACGGATTAACATTGAGCACATACGGGCAGCGGTGGGCAGAGACTGTCGCTGCCGCGGTGACCGCAGTCGCGACTCGCGCACCAACCGCTTCGCGCAATCTCCGACGCACGCGCGACGTACTTCTACACACTCTTCCCGCCATAATTCAAACTTCAAATTATTACGTTCGAAACCATTTTATTTTTCTAATTGCTGCAAGTTCAGTGGCGCGTTACGAGTCAAAAACCGCGACACTTGCCAGTGTCCGGATTGCGTTACGGCCGTTGACATCGATTTTGTGATAGCGATTGATTTATCGGAGTATTAGAATTCTCGAATATGTAGAATTTTGGCGGGCAGTGTGTGTAGTGCTAAAATTAAGTTTTCTTTATTTTTCTTAACTAAAAGTGAAGGTGAACGCAGGTGTTTGCATAGATAGTGCCAGCTGGAACGATGGTGGATTCCACATAAATTGTATCAGTGTTTTATTATTCAGTTGCAGTCGAAGAAAGTAATTATTAAAGGTAAGACCGTTTTTATACTTGCATAATTATACGGTGGTTGTAAGTTACTCAATGAAATTTCGCTTTCTAAAGACTCGACCATGAGTGTGGCCGCAGTCACGATCACACTGATTTAAATTTGCTGCGGAAGAAATAAGAATAAGGTGTAACTAGCTTATTAATTTCCGCAGCAAAGCCTTTTAGAAGTCTAGCGTCTGTTAACTAAAACTTGTTTGAAAGTTTTACTTTATTACAGTGGCTGTTGAAACATTTCACTTCATTTGTCGCGAGAGGAAAGTAATATAAATATAAAGTTTAATTACGTGTAATTGTACGCTTAATTTTGTAATGAGACGTTAATTTTTCTTTAATTGCAAACCACGCGAAGAAAGCTAGAAGAACACGAGCGGCAAATTGTATAAAATGAAAACAATGTATTTTATTATTCATATTAACTTAAATATTTTATAGTAGTCTTGATTGTTCGACTCAAATGCAATTTCAAACTTAAAAAAATAATTATTCAATAGATAAGCAAATTGCACTTTCGTTACACATCCGTACAAGTCGTTACATTTATCAATGTACACAACCATATAATAAGATTTTTGTTTCTGGGTTATCAATATCATTTTCTAATTGGTTCTAACAGGAAAACATTAAAAAACTTTATTTTCCTGTCAAAACTTTGCAATGTGGTCAGGACAACGAAAAGTTGAAATATACGTACTCCAAATTTTTTAGTCAACAAAATGATCAGAAAAACCTAGTAATGTGTAAATTTGCGAGATTATGTAAATTCCGCTATGTGGCTATGTAAGTTGCAAAGTAAATATCACTGTGACAGCCACAAAAGCAAGTTTTAGGGGTATACGTACTCTTTTTCGATATACTTGCTGCTCAATTAAATTGAAGAAATTATCCTTTTTGAAAATTTGTCGAAACATGATAAAAACGAGTAAGAAACTAGGTGTTGGTAAATATATCACATTGTTCACATTTATCCTTTTTTCAAAATATCATATGTAGAAGCTAATTTAAAGATTTACATGAAGATTGCCCGTGGATTTTTATCATTCAAGTGTTAACGTTATTTATCTTACGAAAATGTCACCTTAATGTCCAAGGTTTTAGCACATATTTATTACTTTTTTCATATTGCTAAAACTAGATTGCACTCAGTTAAAACTATTACATACATTGACCAATAGCTGAAACTTGATAATAATTAAATAACTTTAAAAATACAAGCACTTTTAACTCTAGTAGAGTCTATTAACACGCAGCTAGATTGCCGACACGCTAAACCAACAATGTAAAACTGCACACAATATCGGTGTCAAAAAATGTGTCTTTTTTTCAAAATTAAATACATATATACCCCTCTCAAATTCAATCGGAGTTTGAAAATTTTTGAAATTATACAAAAGGTAAGTATTTATTTATATTTATACTTACTTATAAACTTCTTTTGTATACAGTTAATAGACTACAAAAGTTAAAGGTACTTGTGATTGTAAACTTATATTTAATTATGACAAAGTTTCAGCTGTTGGTCAATGTATTTTAATTGAGTGCAATCTAGTTTTAGCAATATAACATAAGTAACAAATTATACATATTAAGACATTAAGGTGATGTTTTCGTCAGTTTTACAAAATGTAAAAACCGCTTTCCGTGCATGTAGATTTATAATAACAAATTATTACAGTGTGAATGAATGTGTAGACATTTTGTTTTATTCGTACTTCTATGTACTGACTGAATAACTCTAATCTAATAATTACCATCGTGTGAAACCTATTCAATGCAAATAAACTTCATTTAATTTTATTGTTAAAATGTTTTATACTCGATAGAAACTTATTTATTTATATATTATTAATAATTGTTTTTACAGTGTACAGAAATTTGTTTTGTTAAAAATGTAGATAATATTTTGTATTTGTATTTTTTTTCGTTCGGACTGTTTTGTTTTATAATTATCCCTTGGTTTTCTTTTTTCAAAATGCAATGTTGTGACACTGATAATATTAAATATACATGTTCTAGTTTACTACCCATATTATAAAATCATAAAATGTTATGTATTTGTTTAGCAATTCATTTACAAATATTTAATTATGCTTTCAAAATAATACATATGTATATGTAAATTTTGTAACATATCTTTCAAAATAAAATAAAATGTAAACAGCTTTAAGCAAAATCTAACTGACTGAAGATTTGCGGGGGCATTCTATTGTCTAACCTTGATGGTTTTTATATACTCAATTAAAATTAAACTTTTTACCATATAATTCTTAGGCAGCTGTCTTTTTACTTTCAATAGAAGAATACATATTGATAAAATTCTTAAAATTTGTCACAATATGTATGTGTTTATGTATGTGTATGTATGTGTTTGTCATATTATGTAGATTCATAATATAACTTGATGCTATTAGCATAGCACCGACGTAATTATACATATTTTTGATTCATTTTTAAATCAGTATTATTTATGGACAAAACGGTTATTGTAATAACACGAAATGCACATCTTGTTTTGGAAATATAATAAAGTAACGTAACCGGTATTAATAGACATAAAGACTTTAAATTGATTATTAATAAATTAAAATAAATAGCCAGTATTATGTATGAACCATTAATATACATAGTATAGGACTAAAATAACAAAAAAAAAAATAGAATCTGTTGCATAACGCAAAGAACTAATTACAAACAATTGCATTAACCAACTTTAGCAACAGCAGATACTTTACAAAGTAGTCAATAAGCGATATGGACTAGTTCATTCAAGCTATCTAGGACTTTTAATTATGCCTGTATCTAGATTATTGTGTAGACTTCGCCACAATATCGGCCTATTATATTATGCCTTTATTACTTCAATACATTTGAAAAATGCGTTTATTATAATATGTTAAAAAAAATGAAAATTTTGATTTTCATGCGATAGTAATCAAGGGAAAAAAGGAAATGGCTTAATGCACGCTCTACTTCTGGATTTAAAGCCTTAGAGGCAATAAAATACTACATATAACTGTAAAACATGTTTTTGCAATCAGCCTTATTCATTTCGAATGAAGATGAAGAAAATAGCACATATAGTGTAATTTTTTTAAACTAACTGGCTAAAGAAGCACGATTGTTACAAAATCAGAAGAATATTGCCGAAGATGTTAATTTGATTATTATGTTAATTGTTGATTTAATACCTAAATTCGGTTTTATATCATGAAGTTATAGTTATAGAAGAACGAAGTTTTTTATCACAGCCGTTTTTGTGTTTGAAATGCTATTACTGTAAAATTAATGGTAGTCATAAATTTACGGCTTAATTCCTTGAGACGGTTGAATTTCTGTGGCATATCGCATGGTGCTGCTCGAAATGGCGACTATCTTTCGCCGATACTTGAACCTGAATCTCTGTATCTTTTAGGCCGTGGAACAGACGTGAATAAAAAATAAATTTCTACCTAAAATATTAATGGTGAAATTACAGGCACATGGGATTTGTAAATTTATGTCTCAGGGTAAAAGGCGCACTGGCAGTGCCTCTCAGATCTTTGCGATTTAAAGCTCTAAGTGGCACTGCAACTGTTATGGACAGGCGTGTGGCTTACTATCAGTCGCACGACTTGTTCGTCCCATCATATTATATAGGAGAGACAAAAGATAGTAAGAATATAAATAAAAATTAATTAAGGTATTTATTTATAAGCACGTATACAAACAGTAAAAAAAAAACGTATATGGTATATATAGCAGATTCTTGCTAAAGAAAAGGATGGGGCTTCAGCAATATATTATACTGATTTACTGGATCCTCCTGTAAAAGAGTCACTCGTCAAGCTGGCCAGAAAAAACTTTATTACTCAACGTAATAGAAGCGAAAAAGGTGAAGTATGTTTTGAGTCCCCGGTCTGAGTGTAAAAGAAACTCGCAACGTCTTTATCTTTCTTATTATTCTGATTCCAAGTTAATAAGTAAGTTAATATTTAATAAATAAGTTTTGGTACGTGCTTAAAATTGATTATTATATCTGTAGAAGAGAGGTAAATAACCTTAAGTCCCAAATAGTAATTTTTACTACAGATCGTTTTAAAGAGAATGGGGCTCGTAATTAGGTATTTAAAAATCAAGGGCAAATGTATTATGTTAAATAAAAAACAAACGACGACAGGGCTTAACGTCTTTTACTATTGCGTGATTTTTAGCATTAAAAAGCAATTTTTGTAGAAACTTTTAAATACTAAAATATTAAGGTCCTTTGCCTCTCTACTACAGATATATTTTTTTATAGCACCAAGTGACGGTACCAATAAGTCGTGCGTCCAGTGGTGACTGACAGAGCAGTTGTAATGCCACTCAGAGCTGTAAATCGCAAAGATCTGAGGTACAGTGACACTGCGCCAGTTACCGTGAGACATAAGTTGACAAGGCCCATGGGCCTATAATTTCACATTGCTGCTTGGCGGCAGAAATAGGTAAGGTAGCAGTACTCCCCTGGACGAACTCTTTTATAAGGAGCTATACGGCTACTAAATATATGTATAACCAGGCTTGCCAGATGGCAGGGAAATCCGAGATTGTCCCGAAATATTTCGTCTTGTTCTGCGTCCGGTAATTAGACTTCATTGTTCCGGATTCCAAACACTTAGAAGTTGTTTTTACAAACTTACTAGAGTCCTTTTCATAAAAGAAGTCCCCCATACGCAGCGCTGTAGTCGTGTGAAGGAATGTCGAAATATTGATTGCGATTGACGTAAAATTTTGTACTCTATCAGCATTAAAAACTCCTAAAAGATGGTAGAAAATAATATTACGGTCATGTTAGATACATCAAATTAGATAGACGGCCGTCTGATAAATTAGATCTAGTAGATGGGCCGTCTCCCTTAGAGCGGTTACACATGGCGATTTTTAGAAGCGATGCAAACGAGATGCAAACGCAGTGCAATAGCGATGCAGTCGCTAATCGTCTACCTTTACACACGCGCGATTTTAAGCAG